AATAAGACAGAACCATCCCTGTTTTGTAATGTGGGGCTACTGTAATTTCACTATTGTGTATTTTAAAAGTACAAAATAATCTTGTGAGAAATTGGAATGGGTAGGCCAGATGCACTTATCTATTTCTGCCTAAAATTCTTACTCTGCATGGAAAAACAAGCTTCTGTTTTGAAGTTTTTTTTTACATTAGTTAACAATGTGCTACCGAGCCAAACAGACCCAAAAAAATCAGCTGAGTTGGCTGTTATCACTCCTTAAGATTTGGAATATGGCCAAGGACACGCCTAATAATAATCCCTCCAAAAAACAAAACAATAAATTGGTCGCTTTCAATCCACAACTGTTTGTGGGACGCTGTTGTGTGCAATTGGCTGCCGCGTTTCACCCACAAATATACAGTCAATTCACTTTAAAGCATATTCTGTGAAGCGCTTTGAGACGTTTAGAAGACGTGAAAAGCGCTCTATCAAATGCAAGGATTATTATTATAAGGACTCCCTGCCCCGTGTACAACATCATGACTCACAGCTTTCAGGATCTCAGGGAATATGTTTTTTTTAAATGTTCGTGCATTTGATTGAAGAGTATGAGTATAAGCCAATGCAATTGCACTACTCATACAATTAGTTTTGTATCATTGAATGCAATATAATTCAATAGAATACTGTATAATTTTAGAAAATGTTCTTACGTTTGCAGAAACAGTTTTTGCTTTACCAGGCAGACTGCAAATAATTAAAGTGTAAGGTGACCTCCCTACATTGGATTTCTTGCAGAATCATCTAAAGACAGTCTTCATAATTCTTATGCCGAATATCTAGAAGTGCAATTTAATATCTAAATTAAAGAAGGGAGATTACGGTGATGGAAACTATTGTGTTTTTTGCCTGGGAAGTTCGGTTGCAGACATCAGTTTGAAAAGTCATCAGTTCATTTGTGCTTGAGGAAAAAACAAGTGTAACATTTCTTGCCAACTTAGTTTCCCAGCTGCGTGCATCTGTGCCAGAGACTGGTTCACAAGTGTAATGTCATCTCTTTGGGTGTGCAAAGGTAATAAAACAAAATCATACATACATTCATCACTTTGGAACAACCTGTCATCTTTCAAGGTGTAGCAATCTTTGACAAACCTGAAATTCTAACCATCTAAAAATCATTCTCAGCGGAGCAGAAAGTAAATATATTTGCAAGCACCGGCCAGTTCTAATCTTATTTTCAGACAGAGCCCGTCATCACAGCATTGGTATAACAAGGCCCCAGGGATCCCTGGTACAAGAATAGATGAGGGGCCTTCTTAAAGATTCCGAAATCTAAAATTTTGCTTATGGTACCATCCCACCTTAAGCCCAGGAGACGGGCATTTCTGAAACGGTTCAAATTTTGTTTTTTGAGTTGTGGAGGTTTCTTTCCACCCCCACACCATTCCACTGCCAATGATTTCTCTTCGATTCTGCCTCTGGTCACCCCCTCTGCCTTCCCTCACCCCAACAACCACCTTTCCCCCATGCTCGGGCCCCGACACCTGACTGTTCACCGCTTTGGACATCCTCCCAACGTGAAAGGCGCTCTACAAATGTAATTTTGATGTTGAACCTCTATAACCTCATGGGCACTGGCACAAATGCACCATTGGTTACACCACTGTGTCACAGATCTTGACGAGAGTTGTCTACGTTCTAAGGATAGATTTATCTCCTCCCAAACCATTTTTGAAGGATATAAATACTTTTAAGAGTAAGCTCCTAGAAAAGCATCATACAAGTAAACAAACAAAAGACTTGATGAACAATTTTGCAATGATGGAACTGCCCCTATAATCAGGGATATATCTGGTTATGCATTTCAAATTTTCTGCTCTACTGTTGGAAATTTTATTTCAATGCAAAATCAGCACAAACCTCACCCAAAGAATGAAAGGTTAGTGTTTGTTTTCACACCAGATTTAAAATATCTAGTAAAATTTTACAGCTCCTGACAGAGCAGAGATATCATACCTGAAAGGCTAAACTGTTTTCATTTCAACAGAGAAGCAAATATTGTGAAATCTTTATAAATCTTGCTGTTATCTAGTTAGCATCTGTGAAGCAACTGGCTTCTCTTATGCCTATGTAATTCTTGAGCTGCTTTATATTGGCAGAAAATATTAACAAATAAAACTGCCCTAGAAAGATTAGATTGTAAGCAGGATACTTAAGACCATAATCTTGGTAGTGACCAGAGTACACAATGCTGTTAACCCTTGTTCCTATATAAACAGAAATTCTGTTCCATGGTTATATTGGCTCTCAGTATGGCTCCGTCAAAAATGGTTTTGGCTGAAACTTTGTTCCCAAAACTATTTTTGTCTACGCAGATGTTCCCAGGCAACAGTCATTTTGATGGCTGAACTCCAATTATTTTTGGATGCTCAATCATTAATGTCATTACTTGCAAGTTTCCATTGGTTCTGTACTTATAAATAGCATCACGTGTACAATTTCAGACATGATCTAAAGCTTTGGTTACCCTCTTGCTGCTGACCCATGGAGGCTAGATTTCAGAACAGCTGCACAAGACAAATCCATGCCACATTCCTCTTGAGATATTCTAGCCTTGGCACCGGATAAATTATCTCCTTCTGTGCAGAAATTTCTAGGATTTAAAAAGTAAGGTGAATGAATATCTGGTTGACTGAGAGTAATGAGTTACAGGATAGAAATACAGATGGAAAATAATGTCATGCCTTCCAAAAGATATATTGCTAGGATAGTTTAAATGCCACACCAAAATGGCAAATGGTCAAGGATGAATAATATAGGAAGCTGAATTATTAGAAATTATTATATTATAATATTACATGATAATATAAAACTATTGTTATATTATGAAACCGAAAAAACTGAAAAGCATACCTGAAATTGTCTGTCATGCGAACATGTTTCACCTACTAGTATTCTGTCCCCGACCACTATTTTCCATTGATTATTGCCATTAAAAAATATCATCCTTTGTACTATTCGATTTCCTTTATGAGCAACCAGTTTCCTATGTTCAAAAGTTGTCATCATAGGGCAGCATAATGATTCACAGCTACTTGGGAGTCCTGTAGCTCAGTGGTTAAGAGCACTCGCTTTGCAAGCGAGAGACCTGAGTTCAATTCCAGGCAGAGGGCGAAACCTTGGGCAAGTTTCCTTACTCCACACAGAGCCTAATAATAATCCCTCCAAAACCCAAAACAATAATAAATTGGTCATTTTCAATCCATATGACTGTTTGTGGGACATTGCTGTGCGCAATTGGCTGCCGCGTTCGCCCACAAATATACAGTCAATTCACTTTACAGTGTGTTCTGTCAAGCGCTTTGGGACATTCTCCCGACGTGAAAAGCGCTATATCAAATGCAAGGATTATTATTATTATTACTGAAGTTTAAGTGCTGGTAGAATGGAGAGGTACCCACACTTGAAGAGTTGCTGTTATGTGAAAATACGCTACCTGCTGGTCAATTGTAGAAGCAACACAAAGGTCAAAATTTTGCTAATTTTTCCTCTCCACCACGTATTTGTACAAAGCCTGGCTATGTGATACTCACAAACCAAAATTCACTGTGTTTTTTTGGTCACCCCTTTCACACTCAGATTGCTCCCTTTGCATTATATAATTATATATATTTAATTTAGGGGGTTTGAAAATGAGATTTATTGCCTGCCAGTCTTGTTACATGGTTTGCACATTTCATTACAATAATCCGGTCCTCCACATGCCAGTCTGCCCTCTCTTAGTTAAGGATAGAATCTGTTACGAGCAAATGAAGGAAACCCCAAATTGTTGAGCTCTGAGGCACTTCAACGATTGGCTTCAACACCGTAAAACATATTGTGCAATGCTTACAAAATTCATCGCGAAACATGAAGTCATGCAGCTATTTGAGCCGGCAGCTTCTATCGAAATGTGTCAAAAGTCCGTCTTCACCCCATCGTAAAAAGATTCTGCCACTCCGTCCCGCAATCCCTCCCTTGCCACCTTCAAGACCCATCTCAAGACCTTCCTCTTCGACCGTGCTTTCGATCTCCCTGCTTCCCCCCTTCCCCCCTCCCCTCCGCCCTCCCCCACCCCGACCCTCAGCTCGGGGCCGCAACTCCCGTCTGTCCAGCGCCTCGGAACGTCCTCCCGACGTGACAGGCGCTTTACAAATGTAATTTTGTTGTTGCTGTTGTTGTTGCCTCCTGTGCCGACTTACGACGTGGAAATTTGCCTTGGAAAAAAAGTCGGAAAAGAACAGAAGCAAAACACAAGCGTTACTTGGAATTTCCTGCGTACACCTGCAATTTTCTAATTCATTGGCCGAGAAGTTGAAGGAAACCCCCCCACCCCCACCCCAACCCCAACCCCCGGCTGCGATGGGGGATTTTCAGTTTAGACCCACGTTCTAAAACAGCGTTGTTAACACAGTCATAAATCTTTATACCAGACTTCCAGCATCGGCAGTGATTCTGCCTTTTGTCGAAAAGACGCACATGTCTGCATCGGGAACGCAAGGAAAACAGGGAGAGAGAGCGAGAGAGAGAGAGAGAAGGCTTCCAAGTTTCTGAGCAATAACGATGCCCGTTGTCAGAATCGGTGCATTGAACTATACCGTCGTCGACCACCACAACAACAACAATAACAACAATAACAACAACAACAAGATTACATTTGTAATAGCGCCTTTCGCGGCGGGAGGACGGCCCAAAGCTCTGGACGGTGTACAGCATTTCCAGCTGGAAATACATAAAGGAAATGTAAGTATAGATGAAATGTAAAGCACATAAAGCTCATTGATGTCCTGGAACAACATTTCCCCCTCTTGTCACAACCCATCCACACACACACACACACACAGACACACAGACACCTGTGAGGTTGGGGGGTGGGGGGGGCGGTTGTTGGGGGGGAACTTTGTGTCCGGGGAAGATAATAAACAACGGACCGGACCGGAAGTCGGTCTTTTGGGAGCTCGACCAGCGAACATGGCGGACGTTCAGGCGGCCCCGGCGGCGGCGGCGGAGGAGGGCGGCGTCGGCGGCAACAAACTCAGCAAAAAGTGTGTGAACTGCGACTTATTAGTGCTTCCCGAGGGCTCGTTGCAAAAACCCGTAACGCGCTCTGATACGGGCCCGGGGAGGGGGGAGGGGGGGAACCGGTTGTGACGGTTGGCTGTTATTTTTGAAACGGCGCCGAGGTCGCAGTCTCCTCGCCGGCGGCGGCGGCGGCGGAGGAGAGGAGAGGGGCTGTTGCGTCATGCTGCGAGGAGCATGCTGGGAGTTGTAGTGCTGTCGCGGGGCCCCCCCCGCCGGTCGCTCCCTCCGTCGCCGGCACTGAACTACACGTCCCGAGAGGCTTTGCGAAAGTAGTCGCCGTGTCCCGCGCCGTATAAGACGTCCATTGGGTGAAGCGCTTGGGGGGGGGACGTCTCGAAGACGTGATAAGGCGCCGTGTCAAATGCAACGATTATTAGGATTATTATTATTATTATATATGCAGTGATTTTTCTTTCGTCGGCCGGGGCGGGGTGTCTGACGCGGGCAGAAACCCATCACCGCTGTGCTTCAACGCAGAGCCGAGCCAAGCTGGAAGCTCCGCGCGCCCCACCCACGGGGGGGGGGGGAAGCGGCAGATAGATTGTCGGAATGGAGCGCAAGCTCTTCCCCCCTCGCGCTCGGTTAGTTCCGGAAAGCGTTGGTTGGCAAGAACCCGGGGCTGGGGGAGCCCAGAGTGGGCGTTGGGGTGATCGCTGGAAGCCCGACCGGCTAAAGCCGCGTAGCCGGCCACTGAAAGGCCCTGCGTGGCGAGCTTCCTCGCTGCTTCGTGCAGTTAGGACCGTTCCGCCCGTTAGGACGTTGGCCTGCAGTGTTAGCGGGAGTTGAGTGAGAAGAATCCCCGTCCCCAGTGACCCGTCTGACCTTCCAGGTCCTGCCGAGGAGCCAGGCTGGCTGTGCTGTCAACAACAGTGATCTGGAGTGCATATATTAAACAGAAAAATTAAGGATCGTGCAGAGTGAAATATGCATCACAGAATCTATTCATAACACACCGATAATTACCTTAATTAAGTTAATTTCCGATCTCAGACTGCCCGTAACAAGCGTTTTTTTTAAAAAAAAATAAAGAGCTTCTCCCGAAGGTAAGGAAGTTGATTTGTGAACTGAGAAGTGGATCACTGTTTATGATTTCTGAGTCAAATGTAGTTTAAAAGTATGTTCATGGATAACTTATAATTAAAATAAACTGGACACAACTAATGCACATGTTCTTGACTTACATTTTTTAGGAAATTTTATTAAATAATTTAAATCCATAGATTTTTTTTCAGCGTGCTTGTTTCTATTTGTGTTTATACTAAGAATTTCTGGATACAATATCATTGACGCAAATTTTCTTTTAGTTATGACTTTTTTCAATCTAATTCTTTTATACAGTATTGACTAGTATAGTGTGCTTTTATATTCTCCCAAATTTATGGTGAAAGCAGCATTGGTAGTGAAGATGTATAGCTGAACAAATTTAATTTTCTCCAAGCTTTTTTTTATTATATATTTTTCCCCTTTTGAGATGTGGCCTTTTAATCTGTATATTAGTAGTGAAGAATAGTTATAGTATAATTGATCGGATTAAAAGGTTGACAGTACAGCAAATGTACTCCAGCAAACAATACCGATTCCAGCTTCAGTAGCCTGATTCTATCCTATTTTGTTTCTCATTAGGTGTTAATTGCTTTGTAAATGGGACAACATTGTGACAGTTCAGTATGCTGTCCAGAACTGCCAATAGACTTGGGTTGCAGGCATTCGAACTCTGCAGGGTCAGGGGTCACTGGGGAAAGGCGCCAATGCGCAGCCTGGCTTCCTTCACTCCTCTTTTCAAGGAGAAGAGAATGCGTGTTGAAGGAAGGTTGGTGGCACTTTGTTTTATGTTTAGATATTTCTAAATTGGTTCCAATATCCAACCATTTTTCATCATGAATGGAAGATTTAACAACAACAACAACAAGATTCCATTTATAAAGCGCCTTTCACGTCAGGAGGACGTCCCAAGGCGCTGCACAGTTGGGTCATGACCCGAGCAGGGGGGAAATGGTCAGGGTGAGGGGAGGGAAGGGAGGGAGCGAGGAGGGGGGAAATGGTCAGGGTGAGGGGAGAGAAGGGAGGGAGCGAGGAGGGGGAAGAGAGTCGAGAGGGGAGCTGAAGGCTCGGTCAAAGAGAAAATTCTAGAACGAAACTCCATATTGCAGTGCTGGGGTACGTTGCATTGTTGGAGGTGCTGTTCTTTAAACCTTAAACCGAGGCCCTGACTATCTGTAGGAGGCTGCTAGAGATCCCATGCTTGTCGAAAAGTGAGGGACCACTTAGTGGTGGCTTTGCTGTCCCCCAGAAGGGAGCTTCATATCTGTGTTTTCTTGGTGATCAGTCATTGATTTTAATTCTATGTGCTTGTCTTCTTAGCTCCCAGCTTCAATCCAGGAAAATGCACAGTATATATGAAAACACAAAACAGAGAAAGAATACACCATATAGAAAACAATTCTTTAGAAGGGATTACATTGATTTTACTGTATTTATTTAATCTGTAGGTTCAGCATATTATTTAAATGATGGAATTTACGTGTAACCAAACTATTCTACAGTTCTACAAAAAGCACAGAGCCATTGTAGATTACTAATTGTCAGCTGTACTTTCAGAAGAATGCAAGGAGCACATCGAGTAACAAGAAGGTTAGAACTGAACATAAGAATTTGCTAGGCAAAAGAAGACCAAGGGCCATCCAGTTTGCCTTCCATCGTCCTGGCAGTCGCTTGACATGTCATATTCCAAACTATATATTATATCTCGATATTATTTCCTAACAGAAATCTATATAATTTGTTCTTGAATGAATTAATTCAAAAATTCTATCCCAGTCTCCCCTCATTTGAAAAGAATCAATGCACTGAAAGCTTCTTCCCCCATGCAAACGTTTTTTTGGAATTGATTTTGCATTTCCATTTGGTTATGAATTCTGTAGTGAGCTGAAGAGGCGTCTAAAGGCGGAGAAGAAGGCAACGGAAAAGGAAATGAAAGTGAAAGAAGAAGCTGAGAAACAAGCTTCTCTATCCCAAACTTTGGATGGAATCAACTTGGGTGGCGATGAAGAGACCCTTGATCCCAATGTAAGCGTAACCTTAACAATGAAACTTCAAGCCTCAGACATTTACGATAAGATATCTCTGTTAACAGTAATGTGGACAACTTGCTTCCGCCAAGTATAGGGACTTCAAATTGTGACATGACAAATTACATTAAAAATTTCTCTAGATTAAACCATAAATTTTCGAATTTCCGTCAAACTGATTAACAGCTTAACCTGAGGGCAGTCCCTTTTCTTACACAAGTGCGTGCGAGTACACGCAGACATGGGGTTGACATTACTGTATTTAGATTCTGGCAAATCAAGTAACTGATAAGGCAATCAGGAGAAATTCTCAAATAGCTGGTACTTATTTCTATGCTGACAGTGACTGGCTGGCTGGCACACTGGCAACCATGATAAAATAGCCCAGGTATTATCTGGCAAGAGCAGTGAACCACCCTCCCTAATGTGGCAGTTCACAAAGGTGTGGGCCACTGGACATTGGTGAAAGTCATCTGTAGTAAGTAATATATCCAATCACGTACTACTAGTCATTGAATTACCAGTTCAACACTCTGAAGCTGGAGAATTTTCAAGTGAGAATGCCTGATTTCAGGTTTTAAATGATGTGTAATATCGTTTTTTTTTAGTAAAATACCAACAGTACAACCAATAACAATCTCTTGCGTGAGATTTTTCCTTGTAATAAATTTTCACATTCTTTCCTTTCAGCAATACTATAAAATCCGCACGCAGGCCATCCAGCAGCTGAAGGACACCGGGGACAATCCATATCCTCATAAATTCTGCATAGATCTATCCTTAACAGAATTTATTGAAAAGTACAATAGCCTGCAGGCGGGTGACCATCTCTCTGATGTCATTTTGTCAGTGGCAGGTGAGATGCTTTCAAATTAAGATTACTTTCTTGGTAACCTCGATGCCTCTCATGCTGGTGGCACTTTACAAGTTTTCTTACACCGCCCCAACAAAAGAACCAACATGCACTGAAAGTCACCATTTTGGGTAATCTGCTGTTAAAAGCACACAAGCCTTTTCTCAATTATTATTGCTTCCATCATCTGAAAGTTATATTAAGGATCTTATGCACATCTTTGTCTTCCTTGGAAATTGATGTAAGCTTATTTCTTGTTTTGCCTAATTACAGAATACTGTTTATTAAATTGAAGATTCCGTTGAACACAAATTCATGAAACCTAATGATCATGTTTTCATTAACTTGTATACTGTTTTCCTAAATTTATGAATTTTATAAACTTTGGTAATACTTTCATTTGATGTGGCGTCATAATATTCAACCATCTCAAAGCATTTTACACAATGAGTTACTTTGAGGGGTAGGGATTATTAGTACCTAGAAAGAGCATTGGTTTGTTAATTGTTTTTAATTTTTAGGACGTGTGCATGCCAAGCGAGCATCGGGTGCTAAACTAATCTTCTATGACCTCCGAGGTGAAGGTGTAAAGCTACAAGTAATGGCTAATTCCAAGTAAGTAAAGTTGCCCCAATTGCTGTTTATTGGAACAAGTTCAAACATCCAATTTCATACTTGGATAATTTAACAGGACACTTCACTGAAATATTGATTTGAAGAAAGGTCATTGCATGGTGATTGGAATAATAGTTAGTGAACAGAATTTTTTTACGGGTATCTAAAATCTTGAAGTATATATCTTGGGATTGTATTTCCATATCTTTTCCGTTATTTTGTCTCACTATTCTTTTGGAAATGGGCACAAATAAACTATTTTGTAGTTTGAAAATCATTTTGTTTTTAATAATAATCCTTGCATTTGATTTAGCGCCTTGTCATATCGTTGAGACGTCTCAAAGTGCTTCACAGAATACACTAAAGTGAATTGACTGTATATATTGTGGGCGAAACATGGCAGCCAATTGCGTACAGCAGTGTCCCACAAACAATTGTGGAGTGAGTGATCAAATTATTATTTTAGCTTCATTTTTTTAAATTTTTTTAAAAAAAAGTCTAGCCTTATACCTCCATTCAAAGCAGAGAATAAAATAGTAAAGATATACAATATTAAAACAATTCTGTTTTGATGTGATCGGTTGCATTTATCACCAAAATGAGGTCTCTGCTGCTCTAATAACTGGGAAAGCCATAGTAAAATGAGGGAGAATTAAATACAGTAGATGTGTCGTACTTCATTCGGTTAATAAGGAGTCTTTTTGTATTTTGCTTTAAATTACTGTTTATTTATTTATTTAAGGAATTACAAATCTGAAGAAGACTTCATTAAGATAAACAACAAATTACGCCGTGGTGATATCGTTGGAGTCCAAGGCAACCCAGGAAAGACAAAGAAGGGAGAGCTGAGTATTATCCCCATTGAGATGAAACTGCTATCTCCCTGTCTGCACATGCTGCCTCACTTACACTTTGGACTCCGAGATAAGGTAAGTACAATGTTTAAATAAAAATAACTTTATATGGTTTAAGACTGAATATAGATTGAGTCACAGTAAGATTGTAAGTGAATTCCAGCAGTCTAATCCTTTTCTGGCCCTGCCTAAGACTTCATATTTTGCTGTGCAGAAAATATTATAAAAAACAGCCAGAGAGATTTAAAGAAGAGGTTTAAAAATGAACTTGTCTGTTGGTAATCCCCAGACACAACATTTTAATGTCTGCAGGTTCCTATAGTTTTCATTGTGCTGGTCTATCCCTCTCTACTAGCACTTTTGCTTTCACTTAACACCTGAATTTCATCTCATCCTACTGAATTAAACTAAGAAATGGGGGATATTTTACTATATTGCCCAAAGCACAAGCCACATGTTGTTATTACTGTGTGCAGCCCACCCATAGTTGCTGTAAATACTGCAAAGTAATGGGCATGTTTTTCCTGTGTCCAAATGTATCTTATGTAATGCATAACAAATCCAGATGAATTTGATGTGCATCCGATAATGATTGATTGCATTTAGTATAACCAGAATATCATATACAACGTTCTTTTTAAAAGGGTCTAGTGGCTCAATAGTGGAAAAATAGTATTTCATATATAGGCATGATTTGGTTTTCTGTTCATACTTCCTCATATGAGTAATTTCTCTTCCCAACAGGAAACTAGATATCGCCAGAGATATTTGGATCTGATCTTGAACGATAATGTGAGGCAGAAATTCATTACCAGGGCAAAAATCATCACATACTTAAGGGGATTTCTAGATAATCTGGGATTTCTGGAGGTAAGATTTATTACATTCTTATTCTTTTTATTTTTAGCAAGTTGCTAATTCAATCTCAGGTCAACGAATTAGCAATATTTCTATAAAATCTTCAGCTGTAGGAAGAATTACTGTTTTTCTATATAAAATAAAGGTTCTCTCTGCTTTGATTCATAGAAACCAACTAGTGAAAATTGCTCTGCTATTTAAATGAGAAAGGGATAGTAGCGAAAGTCAATTCTGTCCTTGTCCCCATCTACACCTTCAGCACTAGATCTAGATCGCTATCATAGCCCTGAGGTTGCTGAGGATTAATTTTAACATTTCTTTTCCCAACGAATCATCCATCAGCACAGGTTGAAGGTTTATATCTGAAACTTTGTGGTTTGTATATCAACGCTGCAGAGAATGGAGCCACTACCCATGAAGATAGGTCATGCTAACCTTTTTGATAGTGTAATCCAAATCGTCAAAACTAAAGTCTCAAAGAAAAGTTAATGTGACTATTGTTTAGTAGTGGAAGAGTCTGGCACTCATTTTCCTATTCATCCTCCTTCCCACATTTTGCAGTTCCGCCTCTTATCATGCGTTTCACAAATTTAGGCTTTTTCCAGTACTAGTATAAATTATGTGTTCTGAACAAGGAATTCTATGTACTTGTTTTATGTACTAGTTTGTGCTTCCAATCCCTACTTGCCGTGTTAAATGCATATGTATCTAATGTATTTAATCTCTTTGCATTCTATTTATTTTTATCTTTCCATTCTGCTGCGTGTCCTATTGATCTATAATTGTTTATATGTGGCTCGTGGGGGTTTCTGCTAAGAAGGTGTTCTAAGTCAAAGTTTAGAATCCCTGTTTCATGTGGTTAATTAACTTCAAGAAGGTGCACTCACCAGAATTAACAAAATATTTGGGGAGAATTGTTTTAAATCCCAATATGTGACTACTCTTAATTGTAGTTATACTTATATCAACAACGACAAAATTATATTTATCAAATACTTATTCTTATCGGTATAGTCGCTATTTAATCATTTGCTTGTAATTTAGAGGTATTTTGTGGCAGTAAGTGCAGTAAATTCTATTTGTTAATCATTAATTTTGCTTCTCTTTTTAGGTAGAGACGCCTATGATGAACATAATTCCAGGGGGAGCTGTTGCTAAACCTTTCATTACACACCATAACGAGCTAGACATGAATTTGTACATGAGAGTCGCTCCAGAGCTTTACCATAAGGTACAAGTAAAACAGGAATTCAATTAATTTCATTTCTCAGAAGTGTAACGCTGATCTGGATAGAACATTTTCAATCCTTCACCTTTTTCTTTTCCACACTAAATGCGTTTGCCATTTTTAAATGAAAATTTTTTGCTGCAAGTTTTTGTCACATCTGTGACGTTATGTGACCAATTGCTTCTGCACTTAGCAAGTGATTAAAAGTAATTAATAATAATACTTGTATTTTATTTAGTGCCTTGTCATATCACGGAGACTCCTCAAAGCTCAAAACAGGATGTACTGAAAAGTGCAGTGACTGTATTTTGTGGGAGAAACATGGCAAGTGGTTGCCTACAGCAATGTCCAATGAACGTGGAGGGAGTGACCAATTTTGTTACAAGTATTAAATTGTTCATTTTTGGATTAGTTTTGTTTCACAGTGCAACACATTTCACTGGATTCATGGTGACTGCAATTTTGAGGCGAAGAGTGACTCCTTATACATGTGTGTGTGTAATAACTCTATACATATCTGATGCATTCATGTAAAATATGGTGTCCTGACATGAATCTCATTAACTTTGATAGTTTGTACTTTTTGGGGGAGTGCATTTGTGATAATAATTCTGTTGATTAAAATTGAAACAGCAGATTATTTGTAAAATTACAAAATTGTTAACCAATGTTTTTTTAAAAAAATCTTTCACATTGAGTGCTAATTATTCTTAACGGGTTGTTAATTTGAAAACTTAGAATAGTAACGAATAATCTTCTTTACGATAAATTTGTGACTTTTCTCTATTCAGATGCTGGTAGTGGGAGGTATTGACAGAGTGTATGAAATTGGCCGGCAGTTTAGGAACGAGGGCATTGATCTTACTCACAACCCAGAATTCACCACATGCGAGTTCTATATGGCTTATGCTGATTATAATGACTTAATGGATATCACTGAGAAACTTCTTTCAGGTTAGTCATTTGATTGTTGGTCTAGTATGAAAACACAAAAGATTCAGTTATCTGCTAAGCAACGTAGCTTTCTTCTTATCTTTAAAAACCCGCAAGTAATTTGAACAATAATTGAAAATGATCGTAATACTGTATATACAATTTGTGAAGTATGGAATGCACACAGATACTTATTACAACAGATGATGGAATATAGAATCAAAAACAAAACAGGATATATTTCGTAGAAAATGCAAAACATCCTTTTTTTGTTTATGTAGGTATGGTTAAACATATCACGGGTGGTTTCAAGGTTGTATATCATCCTGAAGGACCTGAGGGCCCAGGTTGTGAGATTGATTTCACACCACCATTCAGGCGTGTTAGTTTGACCAAAGACTTGGAGAAAATTGTAGGCGTGAAATTTCCACCGACTGAGCAATATGAGACTGAAGGTAGGAATAAAACTTTTTTATGTAAAGCATATTCCTTTATTCTCTAAACTAGGTTGTCTCGTAATTCACTCCACTACCTCACCCTATTCCAATTTTTTTTGATGTTCCTAGAAATCCATAAAATTAACACTACAGTTAATTTATACTGCTGTGTAAATTATTGCTTTTTTTAAAATCTAAACAGAGACTCGTAAATTCTTTGATGATTTATGCGCCCAGAAAGGAGTTGAATGTCCATCTCCCAGGACTACAGCCAGGCTTTTGGACAAGGTATGATATGAAAATTCAATAGAAATAACATTCTCGGAGTAAATTCAAATTGGATAACGCAAAAACAAAAACAGAAAATGGCATGCCTTTCGATCTCCTCAAAATGAAAATGGATGTCCCTCTACAGATTGACACTTTAGCTTGTGCACTGTTTACTAAGTTTGTCCGAAGTATAATTCGCATTTCATTTTTAATAACTTGTTTAGGTGACTTCACTTGATTGCTCTTTTGTTCTTTTTTCAGCTGGTTGGTGAATTCCTGGAAGTTACTTGTATCAACCCAACATTCATCTGCGACCACCCTCAGATCATGAGTCCCCTAGCCAAGTGGTAGGATAGTTGCATCTATGTTTTTTACATTTCTTTAGAGTGTAATTTTTTACTAGGAAGATTGATTCTGCATTGTGTTCAGTTTTTCTGTGGCCTAAATAATAATAATAATAATCCTTGCATTTGATATAGCGCTTTTCACGTGGGGAGGACGTCCCAAAGCGCTTTACAGAACACACTGTAAAGTGAATTGACTGTATATTTGTGGGCGAACGCGGCAGCCAATTGCGCACAGCAATGTCCCACAAACAGTCGTAAACTGTTTTGGGAGAGGGGGATTACAAGAGATCTAATATGAATGGTCCGTGATATGAAAATTGCAATTTTTAAGATTGGGACAATACAAAATGAAACAATTAAAATCCAAACCCTACAGTATTTCTTCATATCACTGGCATGTCTAGGGATAAGGATTTCATATCCTAAATATAATTCCATTACATTAGAAAAATGGATTGCCTAAGGCTTTTATTTGAGCCACATTTGAGACGAAAATGTTTTGCAGACTGGGTATTTGCTATTGTGGAAGTGTCAAATTGCTCAGCTAACAACTGTGTTTTTTGTCATTTCATCAGAGTGATAGTCACAGGAATTGAGTAAAAACATGAATGAGAACACAGTGCTATTTGATACTGTTATGCATGGATAACAATCAGTGAAATAAATCTAGTAACGAATCACAGATGAAGGATTTGTGCAATAGTCTATGTATTTTAATGGCCATTTCTCAATCTGTTTTAGGCATCGTTCCTTTAAGGGATTAACAGAACGTTTTGAACTCTTTGTTATGAAGAAGGAGATCTGCAATGCGTATACTGAATTAAATGACCCCATTAGACAGAGGGAATTATTTGAAGACCAAGCTAAGGTGACTGACTTTACATTGTCCTAAACTTCAGATTGCAAACCAACCATTCTTATTGTACAGCATTTCATATGGTAGATAGAGAGAGAAGGAAAACTGACTGTGATTCCAGTGTCTTACACCAATGCTATTAATACTTTGTAAGTAAGAAACTGGATTATAAATTTAATATCAAGATCCTGCACTGAAACAAAATCTGTTTACCTGGAATATTTGCTATTAATATAGACAGTATTTAGTTATATTTAATATTTTATTATATTTAATATAGATCTATTAACTTCCTCTTGGCTATTTGTTTCAAAATCATCCTTTTTTCTGCTACAGGCTAAAGATGCTGGAGATGATGAGGCCATGTTTATTGATGACAACTTCTGTACTGCTCTGGAGTATGGGCTTCCTCCCACAGCTGGCTGGGGCATGGGTATAGACAGACTCACCATGTTCCTGACTAATTCTAATAACATCAAGGTAAACAGTTAAATAAAGTAGTTTTATTTATTTCATGTTTGAAACTGGGCTGTTTTATCTTCCTACTCATTACACTTACTCTGACTTAGACGGTAGCACACTTGCTACTTAGTCAGAAGGTTCTGGGTACATTTGAGCTGGTATGTCTAAGCTGACATACCACTGCAACGCTGGGGGAGCACTGCATTGTCAAAGGTGCCATCCTTTGGATGAGACTTTAAACTGAGTCTGCCTGTTCAGGTGGACAATACAGATCCTATGGCACTAATCCCAAAGACTGGAATTGGAGCTATAAAATGAAGTTAATAATTCTTATAAAGAAATGTTCCAGAATTAATCCTGAATTTGTCATTCTACTTCAGGAGGTCTTGTTCTTCCCAGCAATGAAACCGGAAGACAAGAAGGAAGAGCCCAAAGATTCCACTGTGGAGGAACAAACAGCATGAAAGGAACAACAGGGATCATAGAAGCTTAAGAGAATGGAATCACTCCACATTATCCCCCTTTTCAGTAAAATAAGATTGATTTGTGAGAGCTGCAGGGATGAGATAGTTTGAGAACATTTTTTTTACAATTTAACAATAGGTACTATTTGGAACAACCAAGTACAGATATCTACAATGGTCTAGATTCAAAAATGTATGTACTATTATCAGCCTGATGATGTATATTCAACTGTACTGATATTTTCTAATTCGTTTATTTGTTTGTTTTGCAACTACCTCCCATCCCTGTAGCTCGCTTAATTTCAAGAAATCTACATTTTTTAATTGAGTTTAACATATTGCCTTTTATACCAATGTTTCTGCTTCATATCCAAATTTAATTCTTGTAACTTTCATGTGATGGCAAATGTGATTGCTGAATATTTCTTACAATTGAATAAATTATGCCAGTGTGATGATATTGTGTTTATGTACAAGTTGATGGTAGCCTTGCTTTGTGTTTATAATGTGATTTCAAATTCCCCCCAATAGCTCAGTGAACAAATATGCCGTGTGATGTAGTATTGAGATGTGGTAGTGAGGCATTGTGGATTCCTGTAGCTCAGTGGTTAAGAGCACTCCCCTCGCAAGCGTGAGACCTGGGTTTGATTCCCGGCAGGGCAAAACCTTGGGCAAGTTTCCTTACTCCACATGCCTGATGATAATCCCTCAAGAAAAAAAATAATAAATTGGTCATTTCAATCCACAAGTGTTTGTGGACACTGCCGTGTGCAATTGTCTGCCGTGTTTCACCCACAAATATACAGTCAATTCACTTTACACTATACTCTGTGAAGCGCTTATATTCTAGAAGATGTGAAAAGCGTTATATCAAATGCAAGGATTATTATTATTGCCGGTTCCTTTAACCGAGTTAGCTGCACTCGGCTAGGACAGAAATGGAACGATTAAACCTCTGCCCTCTGGCTCCTTCGGGGAGAGTGGGGTTCCTACTTTTCCAAGGTTCCTCCTTATGATTTAAGCGTTCATGCAGACGTTGAGAGAGCAGCAACGGATTGCATTCGTACAGTACCTCTCGCATCGGAAGGACATCCCGAGGTACTGGACAGTCGGGGGTTTGCGCCCGAGCCGAGGGTTGGAATCGAGGGGGTGGTGATGGGAGGATGGTTCAGAAGGAAGGTCTCGAGACGGGCCTTGAAGGAGGAGGGTGAGGGGCAGGGGAGGGACTCCTCGTGACTACACCGACCAAACGAACCACCGAAACTGAATGCGACCAGGATTTGGCCAGAAAATTGAAAATGCCCTCTGTAGCCCAAAGTGCACCAGGCAGTAGCCCCGAAAGTAGCCCAACGGTCACGGGCGGGGCTGCGCCGCAGTCGAGAGCGCATGCGTGCTCCGGACCTTTAGCCCCACCCCGCTGGTCTGAGCATGCGTACAAGCGGTGGCGCCGGGGCTGCCTCGCGCCCGCGGCACTTGAGGTAAATGGCGGCGGTGTCATGGAGGAGAGGTATTGCCTTCCCCCCCCTCCTCCCTCCCACTCCCCCCCATCCCCACCACCACCACCTCCCACCCTCTCCAGCACATACACACACACACACACACATAATGCCCTTAACGCTCCGGCAGTTGTGCGGAGGATCAACAGCGACCCTCTGACCAACGCCGTGGACACCCGGAGCCGAAGCGACGGCGGTTAAAAAGATTTGATATTTCAAACTTGTTTCTGAGGAGAAAAACCGTCACGGAATCCCCGGGCGGAGGGGGGGGGGGGGTTGTTGTTGTTGTGGTGGTGGTGGTGGTGGTTGTTTTCGTTTCGTTTTGCCTCTTGGCTGCGATTTTTATTTTTATTTTTATTTTTTTCATTCGGGTGGTGGTGGTGGTGGTGGGGGGAGGGGGTGAAGGGGGGACTTTTCAGTTGAAGACTGACGCGTGGGATGGCCGTGAAGTCACTGTCTGGCAATGATAATTCCAGACGATTGATTTGTCTTTTACCCTCTCTCCCCCCCCCCTCCCCCCCCCATTGATTTGACTGATTGCTTCCTGTCTGACAGACCCTCCGCCCCCTTCACACTGGGGACCCGGGACCGTCCCCGCAGGTCGACCGCAAAAAACTGGTCCAAGCAGCCAAGACGGACCTTCATTTTACCTGAGGCTGTGTTCTGCCAACGCAAAGCCATGGAAACAAATGTGCCACCCGGCCCCGCGCCCGCGTTCGGCACAAACCCAAGCGATTGTTCGATTTGGCCGACCCAGCGCCTGACGACCTCTCAGTGGACGGGCACTCGTTGCGCTCGATTCGGCCCGAATTTGACTGTCACGGAATAATAATCCCTCCAAAACCAAAAACAATAATTAAATTGGTCATTTTCAATCTACGACTGTTTGTGGGACATTGCTGTGCGCAATTGGCTGCCGCCTTTCGCCCACAAATATACAGTCAACTCACTTTAAAGTATATTCTGTGAAGCGCTTTGGGACGTCCTCCCGACGTGAAAAGCGCTATATCAAATGTAAGGATTATTATTATTATTATTGTTATTGAGGTTAACATTTCAAAGGTCTGGGGTTCTATTCCCGGCCCTGCAAAACGTTGTGAAAGTTTCCTTACTCCACTTATTATTAAGGAACCTGGTTGTTAGTCGATTGGCCGATCGCTCTTCTGGGGATGATAATAATGCCAAACAAACACAAAATAATAATTTGGTCACTCAGTACACGACTGTTTGTGGGACGCTGCTGTGCGCAATTGGCTGCCGCGTTTCGCCCACAAATATACAGTCAATTCACTTTACAGCATATTCTGAGAAGCGCTTTGAGATGTCTAGAAGATGTGAAAGTCGCTATATCAAATGCATGGATTATTATTATTAACAGCGCCATCACTATTTGATGGACCCTGTGACTTGTGTATTTCCATGTGGAGAATGCCCTCAGAATCCAATTACACTCTTCAATAGGAAGCATATAAATGAATGACCGGGATCTAAGGTGACGTACTTGGCAATGGAATGGTGGTCTCACTTGTCTGGTTCTTGAGCCAGGCGGGTCTGGAGTACACAAGAGCACTGCTAATAACAGCCCAGCCGGTCTTGAGATTCTTCCCCCTCAGCTCCTATTAACCCTGCAAGCGAAAGACCTAACACCTCGGTGATCTTAGGCAGTGCCACCTGGTTGACCCCCAAAAAATAGGCAGCAATAGTGTTGATCAATCACTATACTGATCTCTCCAGCTGCATAGAAACCAGTGCTGACCAAATACCAACTCTAATGAAAGACCAGGATGTATTTACTCTGAACTAACACTTCTTTGAAACTGCAGGAGGGTTTTTCTTCCTAAACCCACAGTGTCATCTAATAAGGCCGTGCCAAATACCTTCACTATGAATAAACTACTGTCTAAATGAGAAACTGGCATTGCCCTCATTTAGAATAAAAGCTAACCTGAACCAAGCTTGCACAACAGTCCAGAAAGATTTCTATAAAGAAATATAATCGACATTGCAATATGAACTTTCCACTCAGCTTATAAAAAAGACCTAAATGTATCACGGAAATGTAAACATTTTTGGAACTTCTTGATTGGTGGAGATGCCTTTATACACCAATTAGAGACTGAGGAAGCCGTCGCAAACATTTTAAGAAGAAATTTACAGAATTTGTTCAAATGTATTCGTATGTAGTATACATTCTGATAGCTGCAAGAAAATTCTCTATTTGAAAGAATACTGTTAGCTTTAGCCAATGTTTGACAGTTACTTGTGACAAATCTATTCCACGTTTTGATATTGAACAATTATTTTTCAAAGGCCCCAAATCAGCTGAACAGACCAAATTACTTAGGTATTGCACACTCAAAACATTTGTAACTAAATGTTGGTATTTTTATTTCTTTACATCTCTCATTTTTCTTCCCTTCCCCCCTCTCCCCCCATACAATAACCACATTTGTCTCTCTTTATCTCTTTACTCAATGACATTTTCTGCCTCACCTCTGGAATTCAATTCTGACCTGCTCCCCTCATTAAGGGTTAAGGCCGAGAAGTGTACCTTTTTGTGCTTTCAGTCATCCTTCCTGTCCCCATCCCCTTTGGTTCCCACCTGCAGCTCAGGTACCCATTCAGCAGAGTCAAGCACTTGGAGATATTGACATGAAAGGCATTAACTAAATGTAAATTGTGTTGTATTTTCAGTATCCAGTAATGTGGACAGCAAATGAAATTGCAGGTTTGTGCTACGAGCACTACACCACCAAGCTCCCAAAGAAAGGGTTGCCAAAGTTTGGATGGGAATGGACACTGCTTGCTGCTGTGGTAAAAGTTGAAGGAAATATAGGAACTGAACCTGGCTGTAGCAGTGAGAGTAATGATGGTAAAATAGGAAGTTTACGTCTCAATACTTGCTTTATTTTGTTATAACAAAGCTTATGCTTTCCTGTTAGTTTAGGACGTTAACTGATTATTTAGATGTCTGGTTGAAAATGAATTTAAAAACAAAGTGCAGTGTAAGGAATTCCTATTTTTATAGATTTCCTATTAGGCGTTGCATTATTTTCTACCTAATGTTAAGCTATTTTTTCTCACGGTGCAAGTGCAGCTTTCCATTATTTCCCTTTCAGATAAGTGTCCAAGAGACTCAAATTTGGCTTTCCATTGGCAGAATTTAGTATCCTTCTGTGATTAGCTGATAGGAAATGTGATTAATTAAGATTTTATGAAATACTTTCTAGATGAAATACATTGCTATTGTTCCAAAGCCTCACTTCTACCTCCAAGACAATCTTTCAACCCTATCAATCTAGCCACTCCATAGGCACTATATAAATCAAAATGGTATTGTTTGCTATGTTTTATGTTTCTTTTTTTTTGAGAATCATGTCTCTTGATGTGCCACTGTAATTATTTTAAAATGCTGGTGTTGGTTTCAATAAATAAAAACAAGTATTGAGCCACAGAGAAGACGTTATTCTGAGGCTTTATTTGTAGTCTGAGCTGATTGAGTTAATTTCAGCTGAAGTAGTGGTAGAGTGCTGGCATTGGTCTTAACACTGCTGGTTCTATTCCTGATCACTGTCCAAGTACCCACATATCCCCCCCCGATCATCTTTTGCCCACAAATATACAGTCAAATTCACTTTACAGTTTAATCTGAGAAGCTATTTGAGACGTCAAAGCATTTTCAAATGTCCTACTGACAAAATATGATGTGTAAATTGTTATTGATGGGAAGGGAGAAAAGAATCAACCATACATGTCTAGTTTTCTGAGACTCACTGCTGAGCTAACAAAGAATGACCACTTTATGAGGCACAAATTAATTAGCATCTGTAGAATTGCACTCTTGCATGCCTCAGTCGTTTCAAGAGAAGATTGGGAGAGAGAAAAGGGTGCTAGTGCTCATGTTTATATAAATAAAAATGGTTGTTTTTGATCCAGGTCTAGAATGTTTTGAAAATTCACATTAATTTTGCAGTAATTTGTATTTTGCAAGTAAGTTGTGTGAAAGACAAGTGTAGAACTATTGGCATTATATCAGATATATCGCTGATATCAGAATTGAATTATTTAACAATATATGCATATATTTAGTTGTTGGTCATATGGGAATCCAAGATGCTATGTACATTTACCTTTTTCCTTGCAGTAAACTTGGAGGTTGTTTCAATGGGCACAGGGTCAAAATGCATTGGACAGTCAAGTATGAAGAAAAATGGTAGGTGTTTTTGGTAGTCATGAACAATACTGATAACATAAACAAAAGTGTTACCCTTTATAACAGCATTTAAAAGTATTCTTGTTTAGGAGGAAGTGTAAAAAGTGTTCCTTTATTTAACAAAGTTTTACCAACTGCAGGAATGATTGAGTCTCACATTTATAATATACGTTCTGTTATGGTAAGATCAGTAGTTGCCTTATTTATAGTCTTCGGGTTTCATTAGATTAACTTTGAGAATGTTTTATAGCTTGCATTTTTATTCAGGTCTAATGTATAAAGGTTAGGCNTTTTTTTAAATAAATCAAACCTTTGGGAAACCATAGCTTCAAAATTGTTACCAGCCCCTGTTTATCTTTTCTTCAGTAGTCAATAGCATGCATTGACACATTCAAGATTTACACATTAAAGTAACTATTCAAGATCCCAAACATAGGTCACATTATTTTTAGAAACCACTCAGGCATAAGGAGAGGCTTTCGCCGTCCCCTCAAAACCACAGAACAGTTTGTGCTGCAGCATTTAGTGCAGCTAATCACTGAACCACTGGGAGGAGCTACATTTTTATTCTGAGAACTACTTCAGTCGATAAATTATCTGCATTTTGAACGATGAACTCAATTTTCATCAAAATTACAGTTTTCATTTAAAGCTCTTTAAAATTGTAAGTTATGTGCTTTGGGACGTACTCTCGACATGAAAGGCGCTCGCTCTATAAATGTCATTTTGTTGTTGTTGTCCTGTCCCATTTTCCAGACTTTGAGCATGTGTAATCTGCCTTAGTATGTGCTTCACCAGCAAACTTTATTTCATTTTGACTTCTCCATACTTCACATTTCCTCACCTTCCCGTCTGCTTCAGTGGGGATCCTCTCTTCTCAGTAAAAAGAGGCTTATTCTACTGAAAATAATGCCCCTCTTGTCTTTATCAGAAATTGTTCCTGTCTAAATTAGTATGTCTGCCTATGTGTAAGTATTTCCAGTAAACTGCAGCTATAAGCAGACTAACTGGGAGTTTCCGTAGTCGAGCCTTGAGGTGGCGGCCTGCGTGGTGAGGTAGGAGTGGAGTCGGGCAGTTTTGCGGAGGTGGGGAAAGGCAGAGCGGGTCATGGTATGAATATGGGGGAGAAAAGTCAATTGAATGTCAAAAAATATAGCGCCCAGGTTCCTAACTGGCTTGGTGAGGTGGATTGTGCAACCGTGGATGCAACCGTGCCAGAAGTCCTGGGAGGAGGGCCTCAGTCTTGTTGACATTCAGGAAAGTTGGCTATCATCCAGGACTTGATGTCAGCCAGACAGTGTCCGGACATCAAAGGCAGAGAGATATAGTTGGGTGTCATCCGCGTACATGTGAAAGTTGATCCCATGTCTGCAGAGATGTCACCAAGGGGTAGCATGTAGAGGTTGAAGAGGAGGGGACTGAGGACAGTCCTGAGGAACACCACACAAGACTACAGAGGCTGGAAGAGAAACCGTTGGCAGAGACAAATTGTTGACAGTGTGAGAGATTAGACCTGAACCATTCAAGGACAGAACCTTGAAGATTGAGTTGAGAGAAGAGGAGGATAGAGTGGTCCACGGTATCGAAGGCAGCAGAGAGGTCGAGGAGGATGAAGAGGCGGAGGGAACCCTGTTCACAGATGGACAAAATGTTGTTTGTCACGTTGACCAGAACAGTTTCCGTGCTGTGAGCAGCACGGAAACCCAATTGGAGGGGCTCATGAAGGGAATGGTAGGAGAGGAATGAGCAAAGCTGGGAAGCAACAACTCTTTCAAGGACCTTCGAAAGAAAAGTTAGGTTGGAGATGGGCTGTTAGTTAGAAGGCAGTCGTTGAAAGCACATTCATTGTTTGAGATAACTTAAAGCACTTCACTTTAAGTTTAGTTATATGTATTTGTGTAATTATTTATAAGTTTTCAGGGATCCATTACTACACCCAGATGTGTAGGATGGTGAGGGTGTTCCCAATTCACTATATCAAAGGTTTGTTGTTATTATATATTGTATTCAAGCGCTCTGGGCGCTACCCTGCATGAGAGGCACTATATAAATGCAAGTTGTTGTTGTAGTACCATTGACAATTCTGTTGACTAAAGTGAGTAAGGAATGAGTTCCTCTTGTGCTACAACCTGGAATGTTAATTTCAATATATATTGGAGATGGCTCAATTTGTTTTTTTAAAAAAGTGGATTTACTTTTAGCTCATTTCTGTTTTTCCAATTTTTAAAAAAATAATCTTACAATGTGGATTACTCTTGGTAAATGCAGACAGGATTTGGATATTAATTACATTCATAACAGCATTTACTGATTTGAGGTGTAAAGTTGATGACAGTATTTGATAAAGCCTCCCACTGCCATAGCACCTTAACTCTATATCCTTAATGGTTAGCAATAAAATGATGTTTCTTAATGTTATATTTTGTTTAATACTGGAAATGCATGTAGTAATTTACATGGGAAGTTGATGTTTATTTTCCTGCTGATTTGTAAACTACCATGTTTATAATACGAAGTGATTTCTTAGGTCAGCAGCTTAAAAACAAAATACACATTCTAGGCTTCTAATGCTGCAATGTTATTGGCTCAGAAAAAATCTCATGATATGCATACGGCAAGAAAGACACCAATGAATATATTTTGTAAATGATTTAATTTGAAATGGTGTGAGTCATATTTTCTTCACGTACGGCTGCAAGAAATGTGAGGTAACTATTTTGAATCGCTGGCTGTAGACATTTCATCAGAAGCAGGAGACAATTCAATCCATTGTGTGTTTACCATTCTGTATTTCCCCCTGCCAATCTATGTACTCTGGTGCTGTACTAGCTAGTGCCCTACATGAGCTATCTATTCTCATCCCAATTGCCTGCACTCTTTCCATTCACTTTCATATCTCCATAGGCTGCAGATCTTGAACTCTGTAGCCCGTGTCATCTCCATGACTCTATTACCCCAATCCTCGCCCGACTCCACTGGCTTCCCATCACACAGAGGATACAGTTCAAGATCCTGGTCCTCACCTTCAAAGCCCTCTATGGCCTTGCTCCCCTGCTACCTCTGCGATCTCCTAACCCCCTACCATCCTGCCCACTTCCTCCGCTCAGTGGGCTCCGGCCTGCTTCACGACACCCCCCCCCCCGCCCCACCATTGGGGGATGGGCCTTCTGCCACTCTGTCCCCACCTTCTGAAACTCCATCCTGCAGTCCCTCCGCCTCGCCCCTTCCCTTGCCTCCTTCAAGACCCTCCTCTTCGACCGTACTTTCGATCACCCTCTTTCTCCCCCTGCCCTCCACCCTCCCCATTCCAGACCCCCAGCTCAGGTCCGAAACACTGACTGTCCAGCACCTTGGGACGTTCTCCTGACGTGAAAGGCTCTATACAAATGTAATTTTGTTGTTGTTTTCTGTTCAAATTAACTTCTGTTGAATATTCCTGAAGCTGTGCTTCCCATTCCTCTTCCCCAAAAACACACTTCACTTGAGTGTGTGCTAGAGACTGTGAGTGAGCTCAGAGGCCTGAACCAACCTAAACTTCTGATCTAGAAATGAGAGTGCTAACAACTGAATCAAAATAACATTTTATGTGATGTGATGCTTTCTTATTTCCATATTATGATTTTAATAGTCCTAAAAAGTATTTCTTGTAAATATTTTGTAGGTAATATCGTTAATGATAGCCATGCTGAGGTGATTGCCCGACGTGGATTCTTGAGGTAAGAATATTATTTAAACGGTATTGAATTAAGTATAGGAAAACTGGAGGAAGCCATTTGGTTAATTGGGCCTGTTCCATCAGTTATCTTATATTGTTTAATTGAATTAGTAATATCAAAATATGCATATTACATTTAATAATGTAGATAACCAAGTCTGTTCCACACAGCTCTAATTAAATGAATATTGACTAGAATCCAATGTTGCTATTACCTGTGAATCCAGTGCAGATTCAACTCATAGATGATTTTTTTCCTAGCCAACAGTTCTGCTTTAAAAACACACTGATAAGAAGAGTAAACCGTGTAAGCACAATGCCACCTTAAAAGCAAAAACATCTTGAAATAACAATCGGATCCTCCCAGATCCAATAACTCAATTACCACATTATCAAGCAAAGAATAAAACATTTTTGAAATTCTGGGTTGTTAAGATGCCACTGATATCACGTCCTGCGCACTATACACAATAAGTGTTGCTTTCAACACTTTCATGGAAGTGATGCAGAAATGGAACTCGTTTTGAAAGCTCACTTTATTCAAAAAGCACCAATGTCATTTCGTTTGCAACACGTCACCACCGCTTTCTGTTCATAGCATGATTGTGCAGTGCACAGGAAATGTGGAGAATGCACAGGATGTGATTTCACATTCATGTGTACAGTGTTTAAAGAATAGTACAGGTCCATAATGCACAAGTACGCATAACCAGTAATTAACAGACCAGTGCTAAACCAAATGTAATAACGGATTCACACTCTAATCTTTGCATTTGATATAGCACCTTGTCACGTCGTCGAGACCTCTCAGAGGATTCAAGGAGATTTGTGTGAATTTTGTGGGCAACCATTATCTGTATTGTAGGTATCTATATTATCAACTGAAACAAGCATTTAAAGACAAAGACAGCATTTTCACTGCAGGCAAGGAAAATCGAAAATGGCATCTCAAGCCACGCATTTCCTTTGTGTTGTTTATAAGCCACACTCCATGTGAGTACAACTTACCAATTATCTGGTAGTTTTTTTTTATGACTTGAATTTCTTAAATGAGGGATGGGGGGGGGAAACTGTAGCAACGTGAAATACAGTACTTAAACAAATTTGTATCTGATGAATATTTTTGATGAATATAACTTTGCTGACGTCGTGCATGTAAATTTTATCTGCTCTTTGACTTAGCCTTCTAAATATTGATTTTGAGGTTCATTTATCAAGCAGAGTTTAATTGTATTCTTTGGAGATTTATTCTGAAGTCCCCAAACTCTGAACACTACAAGATTTTTTTATAACCAAACAAAATCTAATCTTTGTGTTGTGAATAAAAATGGTGCAATTCTGTAATGTTGCTTTCACAGGTGGTGATGCTTCTATTTTCCCAAAGGTAGAAAATCTAGCTGCTAAATCAGGAGATGGTGGAGACCAGTGCTCACAGCTCACAGCTCACGATAATCAAGTCACCAACAACGAACATTTAAAAAATACTGAAGAGAATACAAACAGTAAAAAACGGAAATATGATGAAAGTGCCACAGAGACTTGTGAAAAGAAAGTCAAACAGGATATTGAAAGTGGAGACTTGGTGTCTGCAAGTGGTACCATTATTGAAAGAAAACTTACACCATCTAAAAAAGAAAGCAGCATTGTTGCGACTGATGTTAATAAATGCATTCAGATAGCAGAATATTCTAATAAAAGCCAGGCAAAAATCAACGTTTCTGACATACACCGAACGGGCGCTAAATGTGTTCCAGGAGGATTTCAAGATCCCCTTCAGGCAGGAGTTAACTATCACTGCGTGGGATCATTAAGATTGAAACCAGGAAGAGGAGACCGATCATCATCAATGTCCTGTAGCGATAAACTTGCACGATGGACTGTTCTTGGCTGCCAAGGAGCACTTCTTATGCATTTTTTGGAAGAACCTGTTTATTTATCATCCATTGTTGTAGGACAGTGTCCCTACGGTGAGGAATCCATGAAGAGAGCTATAATTGATAGGTAATTAATAGCTACTTTTTTTAAAAAAAGCATAACAAGTTTCAGGACAGTTTCTCACCTTCACCCTTTGCCCTTCTCTCATGTTACAGTATATTCTGTGAAGCACTTTGAGATGTCTAGAAGATGTGAAAATCGCTATATCAAATGCAATGGATGATTATTATTTTATTATTTTCCCTCCCTTCACTTCTACCCCCTCCCTTCCCCACCTGGCAACAGATTAACGTGGTACAATCAAAACATCACCTCGTTGCCAAATCAGGGAGGGGAGGCCCCATGTTTATGAAGGAGAACATTGTTGGATATATGTGGGAGAATGGTGTAAGCTGATGAATCATGCAAACATAGCTCCAAGTTATAAGTAAAAAATTTGCTGGGTGTAATTCTGGTGAATTTTAAAAATTATATAGGATGGACTGAAATAGTACTGCAGGAAATCCGGTTAGATTGGCCATTGTTTTTTATAATATAATAGTGTCTTTACTCTTGTTCAATATGGGCAATAAAATTGTGATTAAAAACAAAATGGGTTTTGCAGAAACAGGTGTGTGTATAGATTTCTATTGCATAATGCTTTTTTTTAATAATCTGTTTCTAGACCGATTTCAATAACATAACACAGACCTTATTTCACAACATTATCATATCCTAACTCTCCCTCTTGTTCCAACAGATGCTGCAACATCACCTCACTCCCCAAAGAGTTCAGGATGCAGAATGTGGTGTTGCTGCAGTCAGACCTAGAGTTTGTACACAGTCGCCATTCAGTGCTAAGGACCCATGACCCCAGCAAAGGGAGACTCGTACCTTGTGCATCAGGTGCTGTGCATTCAACGATAGCCATTTTTAGAAATGTTGAGAATTTCAAGCCTGATGTTTGTTTGTGTTTGAAATGTACAATGATGAAGCATGTCCCATCATTGCATTCTTTGCATTAATTGTTATCTGTTGACCTCCGTATTATCGCAGAACATATTTTAGATAATAATATGTTTTTACATCTAATTCCATGCAAAATTGTGCTTCCTGTTGGAGTAGCATACAGTACAAATGTCTAGCTAGTTTCAAGTGGTTTTGCCCCATCGTACCTCTGCTACCCCTTGCGATGCTCCTGCCCAGGCCATCCCTTCTGCTCAGGAATCTGTGTCTTGCTTCATGTGCTGTGTCGCACCATTGGCAAATAAGCCATTAGTCATTCTGTCCTTGCTTACAGTAACTATATCCCAGAATCCCTATGCTTTACGCCATCCCACCCCATCTTGAAAACCCAACTAAAAACAGATGGCAGTTTAAAATGCGTGGTAAATGGAGACGGCAGCATTTTCTCATGAAATATTTTATTGTTATTCATTTAATTTTTTAATTTCCTTGCACTGTAGCAGTAAGTTGGTGTGCTGTTCCTCACCGGCCATCAGATGTCTCTGTAAATGGCTACAAGCAAGGAGCGACAAAAAAGATCCTTGGAACCCCACAGGGCAGGTACATATTTAAATACAGTGTATTCTTATTTACTAAGGAGGTCACAAAACTGTAAGACTGTTCAGATGGGAAAAATGTACCTACCTTTGCCAAAATGAGTTCAACAGTTGACGTCAGCCTAATTTTCTTAAAGGTGCCGTTTAATCTTGTGACTTTCAAGGAGTGCTAACAATTAGGAATTGTACACAAGTATATTGTGCAAAAAAATAAATTGGTTCATTGGTGAGGGACTGTTATGCAAATAAGCTGGGAATAATGTTTGTGGTTGCACTTTATTGTAGTGCTTACAACATGGTAAGTGGTATTTGTATTTACAGGTGTATAATATGCAAAGCTGAACTTTTTGAAGCATTCAAAGAGCTACTTCTGTGTCTTGCTGAAGAAGACTATCCAATAATCCTCAGGTAGGTCTTAACTTTAGTAAAGAGGCACAGAAATAATTACAATAATAATAATAATTACAACATTGAATTACAAGTGGTTGATGTTATTTTCACACCAAGAAAATGACAATCCATATCAATATTAAAATTTTGTTCTGGGTTTACTTTTGTCAACCCTTTTAGCATCTTGTATATCTTTTAGTTATCTTTCCCCTTCTCCTTCTGACCCCCCCCCACCACCACCCCCTCCCCAACACGAAAGATGCTATAATAAGCGTAAATTCTATTATTATACTGTAACTATAAGTTTAGTTTTTATCTAGTTTATTTTTTCAATCACAGTTTGTATTTGACTCATGATTGGCTTAAAAATGTGTACATACCTATGTATAGCATAAAACAAAACATGAACGCTCAATATTCTCTCTCCAAACACCAGATAAACAACTATATAAGTATATATAACTATACTTGTGTTTCTGCTTTTTTTAACTGGACCTAAAGTCTCTTATATGAGTGCCGGATGTAGAGAATTCCTTCAATTTTTCACAGGATTTTACTCTATTGCCTGAGGCAGCAAAATACTTTTTCAAAGACCAGTTAAGGGGAAATGAACAAATCCCGAAGAAAAGATAGATATTAAACTTTTATTGGATACAGATTTGAAATGGTTATAATTTTTCTTGTTGAATCTTGATGGGTATCATACATACCTTTTGATTGCATTAATTTTGCAATTTATAAATGTTTAATTTTCCTTATGTAAGCCTTGTTGGTTCCTTGTAATTTGCTTCATTTTGATTAGCTCTTTCATGGCAGCTTCACAGTAAATGAAAATTTTCAGTGAATGGTTAGTAATCGCAGCAAAATCCTTCCCTTTCTCCACCTTTTTACAAAGACGCTCCTTCACTTTGCACATATATTTACTGCTTAATATTCATTGCCTTGCATTTATATGTAAAAAAATCCATCTACTACTTGTCAGTTCATAAACTCAATGGCCTAGATTTTCTGGAAATCACTTCATTGCCCTTATATTATTCATCTGCCCACATTACTTAGTATAATCAGCAACTTTTGTAATGTTACAAGAAGTTTTCAAAGCAATTAATGAATCGTGTGAACAACAGTATCGAAATTTGGATTCTTTGTGCTGAGAAAAAAAGGAAAGAGTTCCTTTGGCTTTTGCTGATATCCCCCTGCCTCGATGAACATAAAATTAATGNTTTATTAAAATTAGTGCTGTAATGTGAATGGTATGTGAACCAATTGTTTGATCTGAATGTTCCTGATTTAAGTGCTGTGAGACGCTACACTGTATGGGTGGGGCGCTATATAAGTGCAAGTTGTTGTTCCCATTTTACAAACAAGATTGTGTACCGGGGTATGTCCTGTAAGTATCATTGTACTCTAATTCACTTTAAATGTTAGCTCTAAATTGTATTTAGATGTGAATAGCACAGACTAAACGAAGCCCTCGTTGACTGGTTCAAAACTGTTGTACTCAATTTCATAGCCTTGTTTCCAGTTGAAGAATAAACCTGTGTTTCACTGTATGTGTGTGTGGTGTGTGTGAATTCCTTACTGTATCTGAAACCTAAAAGTCCACCTAGTTTTAGCACATAAGACTCTTTTGTCTTAAGATTTATATTCATTCGGAATTCTGAAAAATTTTCAAATCTAATCTTAATTGAAGGTTAGTTTTCCACAGTTCTTAAAAAGAACCAGCTGCCAGATTAAGACAGCATAAGAATTTTTTCACAATTCTGCACAATTTTTAATTTTTTCGAAGAATTAATCTTGCAGGTAGAATTTGACACTCCAATTATTCGAATTTATGCCAGACTTGCGGGTTCTACTTTATTCTAAAGCAATTCTGTCCCAAGATGAAATGTACAATTTTAAATACAATAGAACAATAGAGTGTATAAGTTAACTTTTAGAACAACTTCAAAAATGATTAGCCCTTTTAAGCATTTTTAGTTATCTTTCCTGGTGGCTTTTCTGTTTTTCTTCCAAAGATTGAAGAGATTGTTCATGGCCAAAAGTCACTCTGAATAGTGAAAATTCCAGAACAGCACTGTAATTTATAAACCTCAAAATATGTAATTGACTTGTTCATGTAAAAGTAGATTTTTCCATGATTGTGGTAATTCAGCATTTGATTTTAATTTGCTCAGTGGTAAATGGAATTCTTAGCCACATAATATGATTTCCCACTGTAAGTGAAGGAAACAAAACTGAAACTGGAAAATACAAAGCAGTCTCCTGTGTTAACTTGCTTTTCACGATTCCTGACAGTGCCAAATCAAGTAACAATGGCCCACAAAAAAATTACCTTTTCTCTTTTTTAACAGAAAGAATAAGCCAAAAACGTATTGGGATTTCAAAGAGGCCGCAGCAAATTATCAAAAAGCCTGGAGTGAGCTTCAGAGGCAAGCATTCAACACCTGGGTTAGAACCCCGAGAGAATATCTTCAATTTGAATAAAAAATAATAAAATGGTATGAATAACCCAATTCAAACCAGCCTTGGATGAACAAATATATAAGACTCTTAGACCTAAATCTGTGTCCTTACATTTGGAAAACTTGTAGACGCTATTAATTTGTAGGAGAGATTTGAAGCAATCAATAGATCTTAAGTTATTTATCTATAAAAGTTACAACCTGTCCAGGTTGTTGCTTACCTTATAAATATAGAATAGGCAAGCGACAAAGATAAAGGTTATAATTATGTACATAGTGTGGTATTGTAATTATTATATATTATAATGTACTAATGACACAGCATCAGAAGATGAGACAGCATCATAATTATATCCTCTATGATTTTTATTTGTAATTTGTTGCTTAATTTGGGTTAAATTAGTATCAATTAAACCATCCTTCAGATTGAAAACAAACAACAAATTTCATTTGTTTCATCAAGAGTTTACTGCAAATCTACTTCTTTGCCATGCCTTCGTGAAATTATATTGATTGATTCTGGCCCCAAAAAACTTGTTTATAATAATGTAATCATACTGCATCATGACCTTAACCTTTACATTGTATGTTTTCCCTAAGTGAAACAGTTTGTTAAATGACTTGTATGTGCTGCTTTATACTGCTTTAGAGTTTATGGTTTACCATACTGCTTTATGGTTTTATTTCACTATGTTAGTTAAAAATAATGGCCCAAGGTGCAGGTTCTGCATAATTTACAGACAAACTACATTGTCTCCTGATTAGAGCTCCACAAGGCCATCGGCCCATCCTCTCCGCTAATCATTCAACCTTAAAATCGGCATCTTTGCCGCCAAATATCTCAACGAACTTGTTCGGCCCTACATCTTTGATCTCCTCTGATCCTACTCCAGCTGAGCTGGGTATCCAGTGGATCATCCAAATTATTAGCGGTGTGCTGAACTAATATATAGGAAGATTGCTTCTTTTCCCCCATAATGCAGAGTGGCAAGCTGTACTTTTTACATTGTTCTGCATTAAGCGATTAAATTACGACCATCATAACTGCCTTGCGTTCAATAATTATTGAGATGTTTCAACACCAGCTGTGGGTTTTCTCTTAACAATTTTATGGAATTAAGTTGACGGAAATATTTTTTCACAACTATCAGTTTTGACAGCATGCACTTAGAATTGAATTTTAACGTGCTGGTCAGAATTGCATTCAAAATGGGGCGAATGTCACTGTCACCTTTTTCTCAATGATTTTGATAAATCATTTTCAGTAATCACAGCATTTTTTAGTTGATAACCCATGAAAGCCACAGTGCTTCAAGCAATTATATTGAAACAATGCTTCAGTTGCTGACACTAAAACGTGTATCTCATAGTTCCTGTTTGGGAGGATACCTCTCTAAACCAATGAAGGTCATGTTAAAAAAAATTATATAACAATACCACCGCTGAAGAAAAGCTTGTGTGTAACAGATACCTGAATTCCTATAGTGTTTTGTAAATGAATCTTTTGTTCGTAGGTATAGTACTGAAATCCACCTGAACCAGAATGAATCATCATTTCAGAAGAAGGCTATTAGTACAGTAAATGCATTGTCCTTTGGACTTCCATCTAGTTATTGAATTATTACTCACTGTAAGAATGTGAATACCGATTTTAGAAACTAAAGTTGGAAGTAGCCTCCTGCAAGGTAGTAGACTTTTTGCAACCACTGCACATGAGTTTTATATTTCTAAATAGATTTCTAAATACTGTATAAAATACCCTTGGTGGGGGCAATGTTGGTCGTCTGGTTCCTGAGTTGGGGAGGGAGGGGTTGTCAGCAATTTTGCAGGACATTCCTCTTAACAAGTCAGCCTGATTTATCTCAGGACTTGAAGGTGTAAACATCAGTCGCCGGGAGCAAGGATTCTTACCACTTTAGTTCCTGTTAATCCAGCAAGCTAAAGCGGTAACAGGTAGGGTGGTCCTAGCTGAGCAAGCAATGAAAACTTGTTACATTGCTTTCAATGGCGAGCTATCTAGTTTTAACTGATTAAACTCTGGCAGTTCACAACCTGGATTCAGCACTCAAGCCACTATTGCAGAATTGTTTCTGTCTGTATAAACTTCAATACTATTGGCCCAGTGGAAACTTAGTTTACTTTTTAAGGAATAATAATAATCCTTGCATTTGATATAGCGCTTTTCATGTCTTCTAGACGTCTCAAAGCACTTCACAGAATGTGCTGTAAAGTGAATTGACCGTATATTTGTGGGCGAAACGCAGCAGCCAATTGCACACAGCAGTGTCCCACAAACAATCGTGGATTAAAAATGACCAATTATTGTTTTGTTTTGGAGGGATTATTATTAGGCGTGTGGAGCAAGGAAACTTGCCCAAGGTTTCGCCCTCTGCCTGGACACTCATTCATGGACACAGCATCCAATGTCAATTCAACCCTTCAATTTGTCACATTATGAAAATGCTTCTAATCTTTAGCCTTACTTGAAGTTTAATTTTAAACTGATTCCTTTCAGTACTGTTCTCACGGTCTAATTTAAGCAATCTGTTTATATTATCAATGCCTCGAAGCAATTTAAAGGCCTGTATCATATATCTTCATTTCTCTATTGAGAATAAGTGCAGCTCTGCAAGTCTCAAAACATTAAGCTCGAAGTCTTGTAACATTAAACCTCATGTTTTATAATTATCCTTTCTTCTCTTTGAATCCTCTATTGTGTATCAATATTACACCCTATGTAGCTTGGCTCAATTGTTGGTTCTCTTGCCTCTGAATCAGAAGGCTGTAGGGTTTAAGCTCCACATCAGCACTTCATAGTCAGCACTTCATAGTCACTTCAGGAGTTCATAGTCAAGGACAGAAGCTCCAGTGCAGTGCTGGAGGAGTGCCGTGTTGTTGGAATTGATCTCCTTTGATGAAACGTTAAACCGTTTACGTGTTCAGGTGGACTTTGAAAGTCCCATGACACTATTTGAAAAGAGAACTCAAAGGGATTGACTATACAGCAGAGTTGAGCAAAGATTTTTATCACCAGGTTTAAAGGATTAGTGAGGGGAAACGACAGGGTAAGATATGAAAACTTAGGATAACCTAAGATGCTCGAATCTCAATAAATTAGTGAGACCTTATAGACTGCAATAAAGAAAGTAAAACTCAAAACAATACTTTCAGATACACCAAGAGTTAAGGACAGGAGAGCACAACAGGAGGGGAAATATTATAAGTACAATATGTCATTATATGGAGAATAATCAACAGTGAAATGAGTTAACAGGAAGGTACGTTGGGGCCACAACACTCGGCCTGTTTTTTAAAAATTGTTTGACAATGTAATTGTAAGATTTTAGTGTACTCTGGAAGCAATAGGTTAAATGAGCCAAAAAGACTCCTTCCACAGAACTTTTCTTGAGACCTTGTGAAGACCCTTCCATCTTGATCTAAATGATCCTATTGAGCACCTGGATTTTTGTTATAGTCCACTTGACTTGATATACATCTACAGTCAATTTAGATTACTGCAGGCCATGGCTATTGTTATTTACGTTTCTCCCACAAAATAGTCAATCCACTTAACAATAAATTCTGTGAAGCGCTTTGAGACGTGATAAGGCGCTATATCATAGAATCATAGAATCGTACAGTACAAAAAGAGGCCATTCGGCCCATCGAGTTTGTGCGGCTCTTTGAATAAAGCAATTAATGTCAATCCCACTCCCCAGCCCTTTCCCCATAACCCTTGCAAACCCGTCCTCCTCAAATACCCGTCCACCGCGTTTTTAAAAGTAGTTATCGAATCGGCCTCGACCGCCCTTTCAGGCAATGCGTTCCAGATTCGAGCAACTCGCTGCGTGAAAAAATTTCTTCTCACCTCCCGTCTGCTTCTTTTAGAGACTATTTGGAATCTGTGACCTCGAGTCACCGACACACCCACTGGTGGGAACAGTTTTTTCCTTTTCAAACCTATCAAATCCCCTCATGATTTTGAAGACCTCTATTAGGTCTCCTCGTAACCTTCTCTGTTTCAATGAGAATAATCTCAGCCTTTCCTCATATTCAAGGTCCCTTATTCCTGGTATCATCCTCGTAAATCTCCTCTGCACACTTTCCAACCCTTAACATCCTTCCTATAGTGTGGTGCCCAGAACTGGGCGCAGTATTCTAACTGAGGCCTAACCAGTGTTTTATGTGGGTTAATCATAACCTCCTGACTCTTGTACTCTATGCCCCTATTTATAAAGCCTAGTATCCCATATGCCCTTTTTTACAGCTTTATCTAATTTTATCAAATGGAAGGATTATTATTACTGTGAATGAAAGGAAACCCGAATGTTTATTTATTTGATGTTATCTGACCACTTTTCATTTATAATTGTGGCACTGTGTCCTTTTAGTCCTTTTGTGAAACGTTTAGACTGCATATAAAACAACCATTGTTTTACTTGGGTGATTTTGCATACTAGCAGATCTCTGAGCCTCAATCCTTACTGCTCACTGTGATTGTTTTAGGAAACCTTTGTATTTGCATCACACAAACAGTTACATGTGGAAGAAAGCCTGTTTGGATGATAAACAAAACTATGTTTGTTCAGAATTAGGCAAATATTTGTACTTCAGATGAGCAGTTAAACTGAGACCCAAATTCATCTAACTCTTGAATATTACTCTCATTTAGGCAAGGCTCTTCGAGCAGCTCAATTGCATTTCTGGACCGAATTCAAGAGAAAGCTTATCATTATGTTGATATTATGCTTATTATATTTGATATTATGGTTATTGCTTGTCCGATCTTTCCTCTAAATGGATTAGCTTGCACAATTCTTATCTTTCTGAATCCTCATCATGTTGTAATGTATTAATCTTATAAAACCCAAGTTTGTAATCATCTAAACTGATATTTTTTTTCTGGTACATCTCTGATACAATTTTGATGGTGTGCCACCTTCTTAATGTTGGCTCTTTGCCTATAATGTTGGAGGTGTTGTCTTTCGGATGAGTTATCAAAATGACCCCGTCTGCCTATTTAGGTGGACATTAAAGATCCTATGGCACTATTTGAAAACAGGAGGTTTCTCCCAAAGTCTTGGCCAACTATCCCCAAATAAAATTGTCATTCAGTTCATGGCTGTTTGAGTAACAGTCTACAAATAGATAGTCACTGCACTTAACAGTGCCTTGGAACATCCTCCTGACGTGAAAGGCGCTTTATAAATGGAATCTTGTTGTTGTTGTTGTTGTTGTTAACAGTACAATCCTATTTATCTGGAGTGCGAACCCTGTGATTCTTTTTCTCTCTGGTCAGTCTATTATTAGAGATCAATCGTAGCATCCTATTATTTTCTCAGCAAGAATCTCCCTTTTTTAAATGTGTCTTGTAGCTTAAGATATATGTATATTGTGCGTCAGCCTGGCTCAGTTGATAGCATTCTCACCTCTTCAGTCAGAAGATAATGGATTTGTGCTGGGATTTGGATCCAGTGGTGTGCTGCAACTGGGAGGCGTCCTCCTTCAGATAAGACGTCAAACTGAAGTCCCATCTGCCTGTTCAGGTGGACTTGTAAGATCCAATGGCACTATTCGAACAGAGAGTGGAGTTTCTGCTGGTTTCACCAACAAAAATACACGTTATAGTATATCCTGTGAAGAGCTTTGAGGCATCATCCTGTTGTGAAAGGTGCTACCACAAATGTAAGGATTATTATATGCAAGTTATTTTGTGTTCAAAATGATACCCTCTCTTTTGCCATGAGAGACTGTGTTTAACAATAATATTTGTTTTAACCTTCAACAGTAATGTCTAAGTCTAAAAAAACGTACATAAATATTTAACCAATTCTAAGAGCTTTGGTTCCATTGGCATAAGGATCAAAAAAACTTGACACAGCACATAATCTTTTAGTCAATTCAGCCCCAAGCAGTTCTGACAACTACAAAAGGAATGCAAAAGCATTTCAATGTAAGGGTAAGCAGTATAGTTGTCAATTCACACTCAATCTATGATTGGCAATCGTTTTGGTAAGAGTATATCATTGTAATATAAATTAAAATTATAATAAAACTATTGGCAATCGTCCTAGTGTTATGTTGTCAAGGTCATTTTGTAGATAGCTTTTGTTTCCTTATCATAATTCCTATAATCTAACTGCTGGATGAATGTGTACATTGAAATGAAATAATAAATCTTGTAATTGATATAGCACCTTATCACATTTTCCAAACCTTTCAAAGCACTTCACAGAATAGTCTGTAAAGTGAATTGATTGCATATTTTGTGGACAAAACACAGCACCAGTGCCCCACAAACAATTGTGGATTGAGTGACCAATTTATTATTTACTAATTTTTTTGAAGGAATTATTACCCCCGGTAAAGCAATCCACCAAGCGACTAACAACTGGGGTAGGTCAATCATAATAGAGGAAAAAAATCCATTTACTATAATGATGCACGATAATGACATAACAGAAGTTATATCTTCCTACTAATGGAATTATAGTCAGAATGTATTTGCTCTACTCATTGCCAGTAAATTTTCTTTCTTATTTATTACTATTATCCAATGCCGATACAGAAATCTTGATTATTCACGAATTACTTGAAAAAATACACTCATCTGTGAATTGTTTTTTTTATTGATTAGGTTGTTCCAGCCATTTTATCATTCAATATTTACACATCATTTCTTAAATACGGTTCAACTGATTAAAAATTCCAAACAGCAGGCACATCACAATACTGAACAGCAAAGAAAAAAAACTAATCCGTTTATATAATTTAATAGTTTGTTAACATAATCAACTCAATATATTATGCGAGACAAAAGTTACAAATGCATTCATGTGATTAATGTTCTGCATAAGATCATATTCCAAAAAGATAATGTATCTACAGTACAAGTAGGCTTTCCATTGGTGAGCATTAACTGCGGCTGTGAACTGAACCACAGAGACACTTAGAAGCCAAATGTGTTTTCTCCACTATAAGCCACGTACAAAAATCCATCTTCATCTTTTTCCTTCTCGTACAGTTGGCCCATGGTCAGGCTACAAGGAGAAAAAGAAACAGTGAACAAAATAACAAAGCAATGCTCTTGTCTCTCGTGGCAACTAATACACTTCTTAAGTCTTAACAAATAGCGTAATTAAATACAGATATTTTCTGTTCAGATTTGCAAGTCGAACAATTTGCTCAATACGTTAGGTGAGCCATCTCCAATTAATTGAATCACTGACCTGGACTGAGGGACTGTCTTATCTACAAAAAGGAAGATGGCTTTCTCAGATGGCAACTGGATCCGTTTCCTGATAATCCACATGAACTGTGCCACTGTGATGTCAGAGGGCACCAGGTATTTTCTTTTATCTATATCCACTATTTGAGAGCCAGATACCTTTTCCACTATCACCTGTCAGAACCACAAAACAATGCAAACGAATGCGGTCATTTTAAAAAAAATGAGTAGTTCAAAATCAACCTTCAACAGATTTGCAACATAAAAGAAAATCCTTTGGAGACGGAAAATATTTTGGGTAAAACTTGGAAAACATATTGTCAAGAGACTGCAACAAACACCACAGCCTTAAAATAGACCACAACCACATACTATACTGACTGGACACGTTGTAAATGTCAGTAAGCCTTTGCTGCAAACCTTTTCAGTGTCTCCGAGATTAAATGAAATGAAATTGATGATTACAGTGTTTTCTAGAGGAGCCCTACAAATGTATTTAAAACCGATTTGATTAAAACAAATGCTTTACTACAACATGTTGGGTAAGTACTTACCCCCAGATTGGCTGCAAGTCTATGGAAACTGCTGTCTATCTGGGCCGAGTGATTCTGTACCTTTTCAGTTCATGAACTGTGGTGCTGAAAAATACTAATAATTACAGTGATAAAGCACCAGAATGGCTTTATTACTGTAATATTAACCCTAAGCTACTAAAATACTTATAACCAAAATTTAAAATCGTTTTAAATATTTTTGACCCACAAAATATAGTCAATTCACTTTACATTATATTCTGTGAAGCAATTTAAGACGTCTCAAGGACATGATAAGGCGCTACATCAAATGCAAGGATTATTATTTATTAAAAGGCAGTATTTCAAATGCAAGGATTATTATTGTTACCTGACATGTGCTTGTTCAGATATCATTTTATCCTTGTATTCTTTTCACCCCATTTTCACTGCATTTCTTTCCAAAAAATAAAATGCTTATTTTTCAGATTTATTTATTTGGGGTTATGTTGTAACAAACAGGCATTCTATACAATTGTCAAATCTATAAGTAACTATATTTGTCCAGGCATTTATTTTCTGCTTGAAAAATATATTATTAAATTGCACAATGGTATCAGCACCTAATCATTTGGCTGCTGCCACTCCCAAACTCTAATAATATATTGATATGTGGTTAAAAGCTGTGGGTTTTACCATCTATATACATTTGTATGTTTATTTATTCAATACCGCACATCGTGGCAATATTTTTCAAACTTGATCTTGTTCTAAGCATTCATTATTCTGTCTACATCAATACATTAGGTGAGAACAAATTTCGATAATCAAATTTTATTTTTTGTTTTGTGACAGAATGCAGACAGTAATGCAAACAGATGTGCTTCCCAAACAGAAGAGTTTTATTGTTGTGATACTCACCGGCACTCTGTCTGGATACTTAGCTCTAATTTTGGCAGATTCAACACACCTGTGTTCTGTAAAGTAAAAGAAGGAATAAGACTGATATTTCCTTAACAATACTTTTAAGGTAAGCCATTTTTTAAAAACTTCCTGATGTATTGGGAACCTTCCTGACGATCTGTGAAGCGCTATGTGCATCAAGACCCTGCCCCATGTGAAGGGTGCTATATAAATGCAAGTTGTTGTTGTATTGATAGATGGGGTTGAGCTTCACAATAGCTGAGGTATCACAACAACAACAAAAAGCAGCACATTATATTTGCAAAAAAACAACCACTTGGAACTTTTAAACTTATTATTTACCTGCAATATAATAATAATAATCCTTGCATTTGATATAGCGCTTTATCACATCATCGAGTCGTCTCAAAGCGCTTCACAGGATATACTGTAATGTGAATTGACTGTGTATTTTGTGGGCAAAACGCAGCAGTCGGTTTGTGCATAGTAACGTCCCACAAACAGCCTTGGGGTGAGTGACTAATTTTATTTGGGGCATTGTTGGCCAGAACACTGGGAGAAACTCTTTTCAAATAGTGCCAGGGAATCTTTAACATCCATCTAAACAGGCAAACGTGGTTTAACGTCTCATTCGAAGGACGGCACCTCCGACATTGCAACACCCCCAGCACTACACTGGAGTGTCAGCTCAGACGATGTGATTCCAAGTTCCGATGTGGGGCTTGAACCCACAACCTCCTGACTCAAAGACGAGAGTGCTACCACTGTGCCTGGCTGACACACGTATCTGTAGACTTATCAAGCAGACAGGATCTGGGTTCAAAGAAGCATCTGAGAACAGCAGCTCTTACAATATAATAATACACTTCTGTGCTCAATTGGCTGCCACATTTCGCCCACAAAATATACAGTCGGTCACAGTATATTCTGTGAAGCGCTCTGAGACGTCTCGAAGGCCCTATATCAAAAGCAAAACCAACTCTATTGTGGACAATGGGAAGTTGCTGATTATATATTTTTCAATATATTCATTTTTGAAAGTTAAAGAAAATAATGATTCAAAATATTTTATGTGAGGGTACAATGTCAACAACACCTCAGGTAACATAAGTATAATGTAAGTGACTTCTTTAATTTAACAAACTTACTTTTAACTGTAGCAATTATTATTTTATTATTATTTTATTTTATTATTTTATATATTATATATAAAATATATTATTTTAACTGTAGCAATTATTATTGCTCAACAATGAACTCCTCTGTTATCCCATTTGTTCAAAGAGCAAAATAAATTATTGTAATGACTTATTCGTGAATTGAAAAAATATCCCTTATTTCAACATTGATTTATTTTGAAACACTCATACAGAAGTGTTCAAAACAGATTACATTAAAAAATGTAAATTGCATTTTTTTCTAGCACCTTATCATTTTCAATGTCTCAAAATACCTCACAAATAATTGCTTTACTTTTAGTGATTATTTTCACGATTAAGCAACACTACCCTGGGTGTCTACACTAAACTAAATGCCTCTGAAAGCTAAATATGTGATGTGGAGTCAAGTAACTTAGTGGTTAGAGCACGCGCCTCACATGCGGGAGGATCTGGGTTCGATTCCCGAGCAGGGCGAAACTTTGGACAAGTTTCCTCACTCCACTCGCCTCTGTTTACCTAAGAGGAAGTAGGGACCCGGTTATCTGGATAGGTATCTGGTGAAGACAGGTTTACAGGGTTATGGGCAGAAAGCTGGTGAGTGGGGTTAATAAAAGTCAGTTGCTCTGTCAAAGAGCCGCACAGACTCGATGGACCGAATGGCCTCCTTCTGTGCCGTAACATTCTATAATTCTATGATTAGGCGGATTGCTTTTCCGGGGGTAATAATGCCTTCAAAAAAAAATTATAATTTGTCACACAATCTGCAACTGTTTGTGGGACACTTCTGTGCTCAATTAGCTGCTGCGTTTCGCCCAAAAAATATACAGTCAATTTACTGTCATTCACAGTATATTCCATGAAGCACTTTGAGACGTCTCGAAGACATGATAACAATGTGCAAGGGTTATTATTATGGGCTGTGCGTAGGCAATTTCAATGTAGGTTTCACTAATGCTACAAATATTCCCCAATCAGGGAAATAAACTGGCATCTCAACAACAACTTGGATGGCGTCTCAGAGCGCTTTACAGTAACGGATCCCAGAGTTGAGCCAGGGGGAGGGGGAGGAAGGGGACCAAAGACGCAGTCAAAAGGAAAGGTCTTCAGCAGAGACCTGAAAATGGGCAGGGAGGGAGCGAGGCGAAGGGAGTGAGGAAGGGAGTTCCAGAGCCTTGGGGCGTAGTGGCTGAAGGCACAGCCGCCGAGGGTGGAGCGGAGGACTCGGGGCACGAGGAGGAGGCCAGAACCGGAGGAACGAAGGCAACGGGTACCGTTTTGGTCTCATCTCATAATAATAACTGAAATATCTGCAGATCCACGCATTGTGTGGCCTGCAATCAGGCTGCATTCTCAACACCTGCAAACTCAAGTGGCATGCAGAAATCCTTTATTTAAAAAGAGAGTTCACTGGGACACCTGACCTCACTTCCCCTGGATTAATAGAAGCAAAGAATGCTACAGCATAAAAACGCCATTTAACTCATCCAATCTGCTCCATTTTATTTTCTACCCAACATGAGTCATCCAGTTTAATCCTACTCTACTACTCCCACCCCATACCAATTTAATATTATTCATTTTCAAAGCATCTATTCAATTTCGTTTTAAAAGAATTTATGGGCTACATCCGCTACAACAAATATTTATGAAGGGGAATTTCACAGCTCAACGTCTCAAAGCCCTTCACAGAATATATTGTAAATTGGAATGACTGTATTTTGTGTCTGAAATGAAATTACTAACTTTAAATTCAATTAATTAAACTCAATTATTAAGTGTTTTGGTAAGTTTGGCTTTTCATGGACTCTTATGAACAGGTGTTTGACTAGGAAACATGCAACCTCAAACACTCATTTTCTCCACCCTCCACATTAAGCATAATCCACATTATCAGTGTCAGCCCGACTCTGTCAGGCGCACTCTCAACTCCAAATCAAAAGGTTGTGTGTTGGAAGCCCCACGTGAGGAATTTGAGCTCATCGTCCAGGCTGACACTTGTGTAGTGTTGGGGGGAGTATTTTATGGTTAAAGCTGCGAGTGCTTCTTCTAATGAGATGTTAAACCGAGGTCCTGTCTACCTGCTTCGGTGGGCATTAAAGATCCCACGGTGAAAACTCAAAAGGAGAAGGGGCTTTTTTTTTCCCCCCCCCCGGTATTCCGGCCGACAATCCCCCGGATAAGACCGGCCATTCACCGCCCGGTTGTTTGCAGAACAAAGTGAGATGCCTTGATGATGAAATGAAGAACTGTATCAAACGCAAGGATTATTATTATGATTCGCATTATTTCAGATTGAAGGCGACGACACCTTATACGAGCGGCCGGGCAAGGGATGTCTACGCAATCCTCAGTCGGTGGGGGAGGCCTGGCCTACATCTCACAGCAGTGCACTATTTATACTGTAAAGGGACACGGGCTGTGGTTATTGAAGAGATGAGAGGGGGAGGGGCGGGAGGTTTGTGTGTGACATGTAAACAGCGTTACAGCAACATTACATAAACAAGAGAGAGAGAGAGGGAGGGAGAGAGAGGGCTGTAATCTGTGGACTCTCTCTGTTGACCCACTGGGTGAAAGAGTACACCGAGAGAGCGTTTATTTTTATATATATATAGATATAGATATAGATATAGATATATATGTGCGTGTGTCTGGTTTTTGATTTATTATTAATAATATAAAAAATGAATCTTTTAAAAAAAAACACACTCCCAAAATGGATCACGACGGGGGAGGCAGACAGGCAAACCCCAGAGGAAACCTGCAAACCGCCACCGACCCCCAACAGGAAAAACAAACAACAACAAAAAACAGGAGGAGGAGGAGGAGTGGGGGAGGAGTGGGGGAGTGGGGGAGGAAAAATAATTTTAAAAAAAATAACTGCGCAGGACAGGGTTTAGCTCAGGGAGGCCCTGACACAGAGAGAGAGAGGGAGAGAGAGAGAGAGGGGGGGGGAGGGGGAGGGGGGAAAATATATATATATATGTGTAAAAAAACACCACCACCACCCGCCGAGATTTCAACGTCACCGGAAAAAAAAGAGGCACTGACTCACCTAAGGAGTGATCTTCCTTAAACATCCATTTCATTTTGCCCGATTGCACGAGAGCCTCCGATCAGCTGCAGAAAGGGAACCGACACCGACACCGCAACAATGTAGCGCCCGAGAGTCGCCGCCCCCCCCCCCCCCCAGCTGTCCAGCCAAGCCCCGCCCCCCCGCCGCTCAGCCCCGCCCCCCCCGCCGCTCAGCCCCGCCCCCCCGCCGCCCCCCCCCGAGCTGTCCAGCCAAGCCCCGCCCCCCCGCCGCTCAGCCCCGCCCCCCCCGCCGCTCAGCCCCGCCCCCCGCCGCCCCCCCGAGCTGTCCAGCCAAGCCCCGCCCCCCGCCGCTCAGCCCGCCCCCCCGCCGCTCAGCCCCGCCCCCCCCGCGCCGCTCAGCCCCGCCCCCCGCCGCCGCTCAGCCCCGCCCCCCCGAGCTGTCCAGCCAAGCCCCGCCCCCCCGCCGCTCAGCCCCTCCCCCCCCCGCTCAGCCCCGCCCCCCCGCCGCTCAGCCCCGCCCCCCGCCGCTCAGCCCCGCCCCCCCGCCGCTCAGCCCCGCCCCCCCCGAGCTGTCCAGCCAAGCCCCGCCCCCCGCCGCTCAGCCCCGCCCCCCGCCGCCGCTCAGCCCCGCCCCCCGAGCTGTCCAGCCAAGCCCGCCCCCCGCCGCTCAGCCCCGCCCCCCGCCGCTCAGCCCCGCCCCCCCGCCGCTCAGCCCCGCCCCCCCCGCCGCTCAGCCCCGCCCCCCCCGTCCCGTTCACTTTAATAATAATACTAATAATTTGATATAGCACTTTTCACGTCGGGAGGACGTCCCAAAGCGCTTCACAGAACACACTGTAAAGTGAAGTGACTGTATATTTGTGGGCGAACGCGGCAGCCAATTGCGCACAGCAATGTCCCACAAACAGTCGTAGATTGAAAATGACCAATTTATTATTGTTTTTGGTTTTGGAGGGATTATTATTAGGCTCTGTGTGGAGTAAGGAAACTTGCCCAAGGTTTCGCCCTCTGCCTGGAATTGCACTCAGGTCTCTCACTTGCAAAGCGAGTGCTCTAACCACTGAGCTACAGGACTCCACAGTTTGGGTGGGGGGGACGCAAAAGAGTGCAAGACACCAAGTGTATGAATTGTGTCTCGTCTCCCAATTTTTATTGGGGCAAATTATTTTAGTGCATCGAGAGCCCGATGCCTGCACTAATTGCGATGGACCCCATTATTGGTTCTGCAAAGCATTTGCAGACATCAGGGTTAAAATGCAATGTACAGTACTAATCCCAAAACGAGTACTACAATAATAATAATCCTTGCATTTGATATAGCGCCTCATCACGTCTTCGAGACGTTCTCAAAGCACTTCACAGGATAGACTGCAAAGTGAATTGACTGTATATTTTGTGGTCAAAATGCGGCAGCCAATTGCGCACAGTAGTGTCCCACACACAGTCGTGGATTGAGTGACCGAATTATTATTATTATTGAAGAGATTATTACCCCAGGAAAAGGGATTTGGCACTAAAAGAAATAATAATGTAGTAATAAACAGTGCTAACCTTTCTCTCCGGAAATCCTGCTGCTGGTAATACACTCTTAATGGGTGTGGAGTGGAGAAGGATTTGGTTGTGATCATCTAAGTAACCCTCCACAGTCGAACAGAGTGCTCCCATTAATGTCTTTGGAAAACACATTGCCTTGCTCTCTCTGTCTTCAATAATCTAAAAATATCTGTTAATGGCTTTCTGGGTTCATCCATATTGTGTCAGTACATACTATACATTTTCAGGTTATTCCTGCTGCACAAGATGCCAATTTCTGTATCAAAGCAAACAAACATCCCCTTCTTTAATTACTCAATGAAGCACCTTGCCCAATGGGAGTTCTATAGCAAGATGGATTAAGAATCTTCATTGACCACTATTATGGCACCTTCATTGAACTCTTCATCTATAGATTAACTGAATGTTGTTTTTAACACCAATAGTTGTTTTGTCTCATTCTAAGATAATGGCTTTCCTTTCAAATCAATGGAGCTTGTTTGTGCTTCAACCATTTTATGGGCTTCCTACGAACAGAAACTAGGCAGAAAATAAATTCACCACAATGCCTCTCTGTTCCTCTGAATTATACACATGTGAGATTTATTTTCTTGGCTTATTTTTCACTCGGGGGAGTAGGGAGGGGTTTGAGGAGAACTATGACATAATCAGTTGGCATTGGAGGCCACAGCTCATACGGAGAAGGAGTCAGGAGGGATTAGTGTTGTGTTTTTGGTGTTTGAACTCAGTATTAACAACAACAACACAACAAGATTACGTTTGTATAGCGCCTTTCACGTTGGGAGGACATCCCAAGGCACTGGACAGAGTATAGCATTTCATTTCATTTCATATTTTCATTTCATTTCATTTCAACAGGCGAGGTAGTATAATAATGAAATAATTATTTAAGTAGTGCATAGTTAGGGGGTGCAAGAGTGGATTTAGATGATTAGTGCAATGTCCTATCACCTCTGGAATGTCGGCTGGAGTGCTACCCAGACTAACGGGATGCAAGTCCCTGCTGTTCTTAATAGTCCCAAAGTTAAAACCATTTGTGTACTGTTAATTCATTTCCTAGTGGGCATGGGGCTACAGCACAAAATTGTCTAGAATTCAGAATTAATTGGCAATCGCCCAAGAGAGTTATCGGGATCACTGAAGTAAAAGTGGAAAAGCGTATACTCTTGCAGCAGGGAATTGCTCTGATAAAGTTGAAGTTAAGCTATGATCTTGAGATTTATTTGGAGTCTTTGTTTCAATGTCACATCTGAAGGATGACATCTCCCATACTGCAGCAAACCTCCCCCCCCCCCCACTTCCCCAGTATTTCACTGCAGTGTCTAGACTATCAGTTCAAAGTCCCAACATCTGGCTTCAGCAGCACTCAGTACCTCGCTTGGCATAGTAACCTTAAAAGGATGCCAGTTGTTCAAAATCACATCAAACCTTTCTTTTACTTAGCAACTGTTACATGGTTTAACTCCCAATGCAGGGCTTTACCCCACATTTACCTCTGCTACTGTAACACTTATTGGCTGCTTAGCCACAAAATAGAGAATCAAAGAAAGTGTATAGCACAGAAAAGACTATTTGTCCCATGTTTTAGCTACTTCACAGCAGAGTTAGATTGAAGTCCAATTGCAGGTCCAATTTTGATGGGATCTTACTGATTTATATGCACAATGAACCAACCACAATGAATACTTATGATCTACATTCTTAACTCCACACAAATTCAACGTAGCTAATCTAATAAGAGTCACATAGCAAGGGGTAGCAAGAATGCCAGTTCTGTGTAACTGTTCCAAAATGTGCTGGAAAACTACAGCTGCTCAATAAATACATTTTTCAGTGAATATATCTGATTTTTGGTACATGTGGAACCCATCTGTTGTATTATTCATCACTTACATAAATTTTAGGGTCTCCAGTGTAATAAAATACCACTTTTGCTGAGATCATGCACCGATTTATTCAAGCCTCCTCCCACACTGTACTGAAGTAGAGATAGAATTTGTAGGTAAATGCGTCAGCCAATTTGTGCACAGCAATGTCCCATAAACAGCCTTGAAGTGAATGGCCAATTTTATCTGAAGAATTGTTGAGCAGGAAATTGGGAGAAACTCCCTTTTTCTGAATAGTACTATGGAATCTTTAACGTTCAGCTGAACAGGCACTTGGAACTCACTTTTTAATGTCTCTTATTTACTAAATTTAGTAGAAAAATTGAGGTTGACCAGTTCTGATGCTTTGTGTCCTATCTCCTCTGTTTCCTATCACACTTTTAAAAAAAATTCCTTTTGAAAATAGAGTAGTAGTTCTGGTCTGTTTTTCTGATACTGATAGGCTAAACTCGCAGTAATTTCAAATTTCCTATTGTAATCTTCCTCTTGTGACTTATGAAAGTTGACCCCATGTCTGTAGACAATGTCACCAAGGGGGAGCATGTAGATATTAAAGAGGAGAGGGCCAAGGACAGAGCCCTGGGGGACACCAGACGTGACAGTGGGGGCGTTAACTACCGTATTAACTTTTTTTTAAAACAATATTATTTTTCTTCCACTTCGGTATCGTTCTGGTATCTTGCAAAAGTAGCCATTATTTGTTTTTGAATCTTGAGAATGAAGATTAACTGGTTATTTCCCTCTCTAACCTATTTGGGGCAATGGAGTGAGTGGCCAGGCAATACAGCACTGTAGTTTAATTTGTAGAATTTATTTCCCCCTTTAAATGAATAGTTGTCACCAATATTTGACTCGAATAGTTGTCACCAGTTTTTAACCGGCTCCCTAGCATTTGTTCTGCAAAATAGGTGGTGGCAATCCGACCTTTAAGGCATAATCCATTACAGCTATTTGGAATGAAATTAGACAAATCTTTGAAAAGGAAAATATGAATGGGTAAGGGGACTCAAAAGTTAGCTTTCAGAGAGCCAGTATAGGCACATTGGTTGAACAGCATCCTTCTGTGCCGTAAAATTATTTGATTGTCGTATCTATTCTCCTTTCAGTTCATATTTCACCAGTCTGGTGTGGATACTCTTAAGAATGGTGATGGGTTTCTAATAAATAATAATAATCCTTGCATTTCATATAGCGCTTTTCACGTCGGGCGGACGTCCCAAAGCGCTTCACAGAACACACAGTAAAGTGAATTGACTGTATATTTGTGGGCGAACGCGGCTGCCAATTGCGCACAGCAGCGTCCCCACAAACAGTCGTAGATTGAAAATGACCAATTTTTATTATTGTTTTGTTTTGGAGGGATTATTATTAGGCTCTGTGTGGAGTAAGGAAACTTGCCCAAGGTTTGGCCCTGACCTGCCTGGAATTGGACTCAGGTCTCTCGCTGGCAAAGCGAGTGCTCTAACCACTGAGCTGCAGGACGTCTGCACATGTCGGGCACCTGATCGGCCAAAGCAAATTTTGCCGATATTGTTTTTTGACACCGTAACTGACAATTTATCGTCCTTAACCCTGGAGGAGCTGGGCCAACGATCCCCCCGAATAAAAATAGTCATTCCCTTCATCCCTTGTCCGTGTGTGTGTGTGCGTGAGAGCCACCGCTGAGCTGCGTCCACCCTACAAAATACACAATCACCGTGTAATATAACAGGAATCCTTGCCTTTGACACGGCGCCTGCCTTACCACGTCTTCGGGAGACGCCTCCGAGCGCTTCGCGGAACACATCGTGAAGTGTTGCAACTGTGCATTTCGTGGGCAAAGCGTTTACAGTAAAATCCCGGGAAGCGCTTTGAGACGTTTCGATGACGTGTCGAGAGCCGCTATACCAAGCGCAAGGTTTATCTTATTGTCTTATTGATATATATATATGTATAGAGAGAGAGAGAGAGAGCCATTATTTTGGTAACCAATCTATTGGCTAATGCCAAACCCCTCCCCTCCCCCACACACTCACTCACTCACTCTCTCTCAGCATGTCGGTGAATCTCCCGCCTCCACTCCACGTGGATTGGTTGGCAGCCGCTGACGTTGCAGCAGTGCTACCGTTGCCATTGGTCGTAGACCGGTGTCACTCAGGAACCGACCCACACACCCCCCGCGCGCCGTCACCGCCGTCGCCGCCTACGCCCCGCCCCTTCCGCTTCCTGCCGCGCCAGGTGTCGTTTCCGGCGTCGGTTGCCCAGGGAGACGATAAGCGGTCGGGAGACCCCCCCCCACACACACACACACACACAAAAAAAAACCCCACTCGCAATCGTTCTAACGGTAATTATTTCCAGGGTTTGACCCGGTGAAGGAAGTCTGGGCGCAGCACGTGGGTTAAAGAGAAGATGGCCGTTTATGAAGTCTATTCGCACCCGCGATTGATTCGTTACCGAACCAGCATTTGCACCAAAGCGACGGTCTTTCTTGCCACGGTGTTGGGCCTGACGTACATCCCGCCGCTTCTGGTCGCTTACAGGAGTCACGGTGAGAGGTGTCTTTCCCTGTCACGGTTTGCAGGCTCTCTCTCTCTGTGTGTGTGTGTGTGTGGGGCGGGGGGGCGGCTCTGGTGGACGGGGGAACTGTGGTCCTCGTCACGTCTTCGCGACGTCTCAACAACAACAACACCAACACCAACAACAAGATTGCATTTATAGAGTCGCCTTTCACGTCGGGAGGACGTCCCGAGGCGCTGGGCAGTTGGGTCGCGACCCGAGCATTGCGGGGGGTGGGGGGGGGGAATGGTCAGGAGGAGGGGAGGGGAGGGAAGGGAGGGAGCGAGGAGGGGGTAGAGAGTCGAGAGGGGAGCTGAAGTCACGGTCGAAGAGAAAGGTCTTGAGACCGGCCTTGAAAGGGGGGAAAAAAAATATATATATATATTCGCAGGAATATTTGAGTATGTAGGATGTAGTTTGTGGAGCAAAACCCGGCAGCCAATTGCGCACAGCAGCGTCCCACAAACAGTCGCGGATTGAAGTCGCCGCTTTATTATTATTTTGTTGAGCGATTATTATCGGGCGTGTGGAGAATGGAAAGTTGCCCAAGGTTTTTGCCCTGCCAGGAATCGAACCTAGGTTTCTTGCTTGCGAGTGCTCTAACCACTGAGCTACAGGGCTTCATGTTCTCAATGATTCAAAGAGCAGAGCTTGGTGGTTCCTCATCAAACTTGTGGATTGAAAATGAGCTTTAAAATAAGCAGGACAGTGTAGTGTGCCCTTGCTGAAGCTCTGTGTCGTAGGATATGGCACACTGCAGAGCAAGTAGCTGAGTTGGCCCACGTTCAAGCCATCACACACACAACTTTCACATATTTGTTTTAAAAATCTGTCCCTGGTGGAGTGCTATTCAAGACGCATTTTGCCCATAAAGCACAATGAGACTGCAATTTACAGGACTTTCTGCTTTGAGACATCTAGAAGATGTGAAAAGCGTTATATCAAATGCAAGGGTTATTATTATATCCTGTGAAGCGCTTTGAAACATCTCAACAACGTGATAAGGCCCAGTAACAAATTCAAGGATTATTATTATTAACTACAACTCAACCATTCCTTAAGAAAAATGTTGTGCAAGCAGTTAATCTGGATGCATGTATCAAGACAGAAGACAAGAGGGTATAGGTTTAGAGATGCAAAGGGCAACTTCAGGAAAGACACCAGGACATTTTTCTTCACACTCTGGAACTCCATCCCACGGTCCCTTCGCCTCGCTTCCTCCCTTGCCTCCTTCAAGGCCGGTATCAAGACCCTTCTCTTTGACCGTGCCTTTGGTCGCCCTCCCGCCTCTCTGCCTTCCCTCACCCCTATACCACCCCTCCCCCATGCACGGGCCCTGACACCTGACTGTTCAGCGCTTTCGGACGTCCTCCCAACATGAAAGGTGCTCTACAAATGTAATTTTGTTGTTGTGAACGACTGGAACAGGTTGCCAGGAAGGCTGGTTGAAGCCAGAACACCAATTTGATAAAAAAAGATTGATGTTGTTGTAGGGGGAGGGTAGGATGTTTTGAAAACATGTGATCAGATGGTATCAAGGGTCTTCTTCAACCGAACTGAACTTATGATAATATTTAAATATCCTTGATAACTATAAAACATATACACCCAGCTGAGCTATAATAAACATCTTTGAGGCGTGACAAACAGTTGTGGATTGAGTGACCAAATTATTATTATTATCCCAATTGATTGTACTGTTTTTCCTTTAGGATTTTGGTTAAAGGTGAGCACTTATGAAGAGCAGCCAAATGTCAGATTCCAGTATGAAGTTCTGATGATTGCTGGGACTAGCACAGATGGAGACTTTGTGGCATGGAGTACATTTAAGAAGTTCAATGATCTACAGGGGGACAACCTCCGAGTCCCAGTCATAACAGTAAGTTAAGTTGCTTCTTTGTTATCTGCTAGCGTACCAAAAGGAAACTGGCATTTTAGGATTAAAATAAAAATACCCTTCAAAACTACTTGCGTAGTTAAGTCCTGGGTACTAACAAACTGAATTTGTCAGCCATATACAACATGAGTTTAGAGCTCACACGAACATCAATTAACATTTATATAGAGTATTTCACATGAGGGAATTGTCTCAATGAGCTTCATACACATTGTGGGATGATTATACATGTGTGAAATTTTATTCAAACCCCACATCGGAATCACAAAGTGTAAGCTGACACTCCAATGCAGTGCTGCATTGTCGGAGGTGCTGTCCTGTGCATGAGACGTTGAACCGAGCTCCCGTCTGTCTGTTCAGGTGGCACTATTCGAAAAGAGAAGGGAGTTTATCCCAGTGTCCTGGCCAACAATCCCCCAAATAAAATTGGTCACTCACTCCATGGATGTTTGTCATTCATTGCTGTGCGCAACTGGCTGCAGTGTTTCACCCGCAAAATACAGTCAATCCCCTTCACAGTATATCCTATGAAGCACTTTAAGATGTCTCAACGACCTGATGAGATGCTATATCAAATGCAAGGATTATTAGTATGATTATATGATTATGTTCTTACTATAGGTCATGGAGGAAGACAAGAATCAGGATGGGAAGATGGATCGCCTCAACTTCCGGTTAGAGATTCCACTTCAATCATCAGAACAAGTGCAGAGTTTACAGCTTATCCTAACATTTTCATACCAACTTTTTGTAAGTTTTCAGTATATTGAGGCTTCAATTTTTATAAAACTGGTGAAAACCTCACAACTGTTTCATAAGCGGCACCAAGTTCGAATGTTGGAGTTCCTCGGAAGATGGAATTATGGCCTTGATTCATTATTTCATTGCCATTGTAAATATGATGATGACTTGAAGATTATTTTTCTTTTTGAAGGTTACACTGTTTTCAATACAACTTACATTCAGATCACGCCGTTCACGTCAAAGAACATCTCAACAAGCAGGACAAACTAAAAATAATTTGAAATAAAGGGAATGTTACGTAGGCAAAAGTAGGAGTTAATTTTACCATTAGCTGCAGTTACTTAGTGGGGAGTCTGGGGAGAGGATAAGTTAATTCACTTGTTATTATAATATTTTTAAAAAATATATCAATAAATATTGTAGAATACCATCACTTTTATGGCAGTATACTTTATTTTTAAACAGTTCTGGTAACTGCCGAAATATGTGATGTTTTTAAATAAATGGTACATTTTACTTTTAAATGCAATATTAGCCCAAAATGCTTCATGAGCATTTGTTTTCACCCACAAATATGCAGTCAATTCACTTTACAGTATATTCTGTGAAGCGCTTGAAGATGTGATAAGGCACTATATCAAATGCAAGGATTATTATTTATTATTATAATGATTTTTGCAGAGAATGTCTACATTTGTAATGCAGAGTATGGCATATATCCACTTCTCATCTTTCATCCCTGGATCCCAGCTTTCAGTAAATGGTGACTTAAAACTCCACCAACGAGAGCCCCTTAGCCACAGAGGCCTTGACAGACGCTACAACGTAAGTGTATTTTTAACTTTAACTTTGTTATTTATTCAGCACAGTACCCGTTGCCTTCATTCCTCCGAGTCTGGCCTCCTCCCCCGAGTCCTCCGCTCCACCCTCGGCGGCTGTGCCTTCACCCACTATGCCCCGAGGCTCTGGAACTGCCTTCCTCACTCCCTTCGTCTCGCTCCCTCCATTCCCATTTTCAGGTATCTGCTGAAGACCTTTTCGACCGCACCTTTGGTCACCTTCTTCCCCCTCCCCTGGCTCGGTCCCGGGATTCGTTACTGTAAAGCACTCTGAGATGCCATCTGGCGTGAAGAGCGCTATATAAATCCAAGTTGTTGTTGTTCTGCTTGACATGAGCCATGTTGCTATTTGTGAATACTGTACTGAATTTTCATCTCAATAATTCAAAGATTTTTAAGTAAAATTCAGCAGCTTCTAGCCATCAAAAGTGCATTCCTCTTGGGATAGTTAGAACTATTCATAAAAAATGCACTATTTCAACAATTTTAATATGTTTCATTAAGTTGAAATCCTGCTTTGTGACTGTTTTGTTTGTCACTACTTAAAGCTCATTAAGGCTTTGTTAAAATTAAATTACTTAAATTACTTAGTCAAGAAGGCTATAAACACCAGCTCATGCAGTCAATTGACTTTACAGTATATTCTGTGAAGTGCTTTGAGACGTCTCAAAGACATGATAAGATGCTATATCAACTGCAAGTATTATTATTATATATATTTTGAACTACTCTGACACAATCCCCTGATTGGCACATTTTATCCGTGGCACTACATTGCAACACAGCCACTACACAGCAGAAAGGTAGAAACTGAAATTAATTTACCAGGAGGTATTTCCCATTAAGGATAACCAGGCAGTTCATTATGTGCTTATTGTGGTTGAAATTATTCTTTGATTGCCAGAAGCCAGTTTCAAGAAAGAATATCCCAGTGAATCTGGACTCAACCCTCTCCAGTTCTCTGACATCCTTCCTCTCGTGACAAGTCCAAAATTGAACTTTTTTAGAAAGAAATGAACTTGATATTCCAATTGCTTACAATACAAACAAACTGCTTTAAGAGGTTTTGGATATCATTAGGTCATCCTTAATTTTTGAAATGACTATTTTTTTCCCATTCAAATCTTTTTTTGTTTTGCAGGTCTCTGTAATTAACGGTAATAGTTTATTCGCAAATGCCTTTGACCTTGCTGCCATCATTGCATCATATCAGGATAGAAATGGTAACATTTTCATTATTTTATACTTTTCATTATTTTATTTGTTTGTATCCCCCTACAAAAACTTGTACACCTTTTGAAAAAATGATGGGGTCCTTTGTTGTAAAAACAGATTCAAAATCGAGAAAAACAAACTTGTGGTTTTGTGCTCCCGGCATAGAAAGGGGAAAATATCAGGGAGGTTCATGTGTCATCCTGGTGCAGTAGTAGCACTCACGCCTCTGAGTCAGAAGGTTGTGGGTTCAAGCCCCACAATGGGATTTGGAATCACATAGTTTAAGTTGACACTCCAATGCAGTGTTGGGGAGGGGGTATTGTGTTTTTGGAAGTGCCGTCCTTATGATGGATGTTAAAGATCCCATAGTACTATTCGAAAAGAGAAGGCAGTTTCTCTGATATCCTGGCCAACAATTCCTCCCAAGTAAAAAAAAATGTTTACTCACTTCATGGCTCCTTGAGCTCTGTGCACAACTAGATGCTGTGCTTCATCCACAAACAAATACACAATCAATTCACTTTACAGTTTATCATGTGAAGAGCTTTGAGATGTTTCAATGACGTGATAAGACTTATTATTAGCAAGGATTATTATTATTATTATTGCTCCTATCAAACAATCACTATTATTCAGGCAATTCACTTCTTGGAAAACGAAATTCAGGAAATCAGTGGTCAAAGTTTCTGCATATGCATGAAAACAAATGTTTATAGTGAGCATTTGGCAGCAGAAGCAAGGAAGCCTGGTTTGAATTGTGGAGATTTAGTACAATCTCTGCATGTTTATTAGAATCAGCCTTAGTTTCACCAGCATTTAACTGTATGAGTGTTCCAATATATAACTTGCCAACAATTTCCTCCAATCTAATTTAGACACTAATAATCTCTTATCCTTGCTTTCAGTGACAACTATATTCGCCAATCAGTATCCTGTGTGGGCAGTGGCAAAGGCTGCTGATGCTCCATTTATTGTTAATGCTGTTATCAGATACCCTGTGGAAATTATAAGATATCCTTTGTTTCAACCTCTTTTACACAAAATAAGGTTATGATTTGATCTGTTTTTCTCCAGTTTTTCTTTGTAAGTTTTGTTTAGGAGCTCATAATAAAGCTTAAAATCGTACAATTAATCAAATGTATATCGATGTCAACACTTCTATTTTTTTCACTAGAAATGTCGACTGCAAGGTATTAAGTTAAACAATACTATTTGAATTGTTTTAACAAATCACACCAGTTCCTTTTCCAATTGATGAATAAACTTTGAATTTCAAATGCTACACAAATCCTATTAATTTAGATATACAAATATGTACCTAGACATACTTTAAAAGTAGCAAGTAAAAGAATTCAAAGTAGCAGTACTTCACAGTACCAAAAACAATAGGCCAAGCAATAATAGGCATTAATGCCTCTACCTTTGGCAGCTGGGATATGTTTTTTCACATACTGTGGCTTGATTGCTTTTCGATTTTAAAATACTGTACGGGTAAATCATCAACATTGCAAAATGTATTTGTTTACTTATTATTTGTTTCTCTTCCTTAATGGTCTCGTTTATACCTATCGCCCTGGTTTCTGGGAGATGATTAAGTTTGCTTGGATCCAGTATGTCAGTGTGCTTCTCATCTTCCTGTGGCTTTTCAAGAGAATCAAGATATTTGTCTTTCAGAATCAAGTGTTGACCACAGTGGTAACACCATCTTATAAGCAACACCAATCTTGACTGATTACAAGAAGTTTCTTTGAAATATCCCTGATCCCACTATGTACACACGCTGTTCATCAAACATTTATCAGGACATCTAATGTTGAAATACTTATTTCTCAATGAATATCCACTGGCACAAGTGTTCTTCCTCACACTTTTGATCTGTGACAGCTGAATGAACAAAGGAGATGTGAATAGGACAGGCTTTAAAGAGTAATTGACCCTTTATTTTTAGCTCTAAAACAATGTTATTAGATGGTAGAAATGTGCATTACTATTGTTCTACTTTGTACAGTAATGAAAAACACATTTATGAAATATTTCCTGAATAGAAAACACATGGCACTAATGCAGTATTTTTTCTCAATTATGCCCTGTATAGTTTATCCAGACATGCTATGCTTCTGTAAACCAGTGTGTTTTTTGTTAATCCACTTTTATATCAGCTAATGCTATTATAATATTGGTTCAATGCCTTTATATCTTTGGTCTAATGCCATGACCTTGTAAATCCAATCCTATGTTGCTCTGTGAACAGGCTTCAGCAATCATAATAGTTAAAGTAAAGGTGCATATCAACTTTGTCTAATGGAAGCATTTCAATACTTTTGAAAACTATGTGTTCTCTTACTGGATGAATTGATGAAAGGAAGGGGAAAAAATAGCAACAGAAACTAAAGTATAATAATGCTACTACTAATAATAATTAACAAATAGCTGAATAGAATTATTATTTGGTTTGCAATTTTTTAAAATCTTTTCACAAGAATTGAATAGGGCATTTGTCTCTTCATTCCTATTTCTTCACACCTCTCTCTATTTTAAGCTCAATAGCCATAAAAATAGCTATTCCGTGCAAGAGTTTATTGAGCAAAGGTTAAAAATATCCACAAATATAATATCAACCCACTTTTATTGGTTGTTAGATAAGATAGATGTATGTGCCTGTTAGTATTGCTAAATTGGATTTTGTTCATTTTTTCCTGATAAAACAGCACAGAATATACAAACGCAAGTACTGTACAATAAATGAAATACTGTATTGATAAATAATTAGAATTTTAGATTTTTTTGTAAAATATTTGAGATGATTGTTGCACACCGTTGTTGGGCCAATCAAAATGATAATTTATACTTGGTTACATGATGCTTTTTATATTATGTCTGCAAACATTTTGCGTTTATAATAAAAATCAAATTTAGATGGTCATTTTGTACTTATTCCATTAAATTATAGCCTCAGTCTTATTGTGAATGGCCCTGTGATATTTTGTAAAATATTTTGTTTTGGCGTTTCGCCCACAAAATATACAATCAGTGCACTTTACAGTATATTCCTTATAGCATTTTGAGACGTCTTGAAGACATGATAAGGCACCATAACAAATGCAAGGAATATTATTGTAAACTAGCTATGCTTGCAACCAGTTTCATTTAATCAGCCTGCTCTCTTTCATTTGCCATTTTTATTTATCCTTGAAAGGCTTGATCTTCGCTTCTTAAGCATCTGTATCCCTTAAGATTAAGAAAATGTGCTGTTGAACTCGTTAGCATCCCTTGTTCACATATGTGCACACATATCCTTTTGGGAGGACTCCTGTGAGAGGACACCTGCTGGGAGGACTCAGTGGGAAGACTCAGTGGGAGGACTCTTGTTGGTGTTGGTTAGACACACACACCATGCAGAATACCATGCATACCTGTTTGGGGGCTTAAATCATTTTTTAATATAGCTCATCAACAATGGGAGAGCCCTGAAAAAAATATGCCCATGACTCTCCCTCATGCACTACCTTTCCGATGAGATACAAATCATGTCTCTACGTCAGTCGGTTAGACAGACACATAGATATTTTGTCTTAACATAAGATGAAAAAGACCAAGGTCCATCTAGTTCACCTTCCCCTTCCTGGCGGTCGCATGCACATATGTCCTGAACTACCTATGTCCTATATCCCAGAATGTTATTTCCTTAAAATAAACTGTCTAATCTGTGTTTGAAAAAATCAACACTTCCTGCTTCAATCGTCTTTATTAGTATAGATATATCTCTCTGGAAGGATGTGTGACCTCTGTCGCTACTTCGTTGCAGAGTACATTTTGGGGGCTTAATTAAAGCATTTTAAATATTTCATTGTGCACCGCAATAAAGTTCCCTTTTGTCCTAAGGGAACAAAGGATAGGATAGGTTTGCCTCACAGAACATTTGGAGTTTATTATTAAATAATTTAATAATTATTCTTAATACCAATAAGACCTGAATCAAGCGCCTTGGGACGTCCTCCCGACGTGAAAGGTTCTATACAAATGTAATTTGTTGTTGTTGTTAACCCCCTTAATCTCCTCCACCCAACCTCCCCCCACCACCCCCAACCCGATTTTGGCTCAATGTTTGCGTTTGAGTTGCAATCATCCCTGTTATTGTGCCTACCGATAAGAACTAAAACCATTATGGTGTTGCCATTCTCAATACAATATTGATTCTAAGCTGAATTTGCTTTAAAGTTTATACTGAACAAATTTACATTTAATTTGCAGCTGGTGTTATTTTCAACGCCTGGACAAGTAGTTGGAATTAATCAAATCTATTCATGCGTAAATTCACAAATTGCTGTGTTTTATCTTTCTTTCCAATCTGGGCTACTAAATTAGAAGTTTACATCACCTGGAGTAAGCATTCTGATTCAAACATTCAGCTTTAACCTAGGTCAATACATTTAGTGAGAACTGAACTCTGGTAACACTGGCCATGTATAGTGCAGGTGCATGAAGTGACTTGGCCCACGTTCAGATCAGGTTAACCAAAATAATAGTGAATGCAACCCAACAAAGTAAATATTATAAATATGGTCTTAACTGCTCTTTATAGAAATATACCCTGTAATTGCTCAGCTCCACTGACACCCTAACCTCCAGCAGATAGAATTCAAGTTCTATCTGCTGGAGGGAGTCCTGTAGTATATTGGTTAGACCACTCGCCTTTCAAGCTAGAGGACCTGGGCTTGGTGGAGTTTCCAGAGTGTTGAACCAGCTCTAATATTAAGAACTTGGCAACAGAATGTTGGAATTGAGTCAATCCTTTGTGCCAGACTCAATAGTTCAGTTCTTGAGCAAAACTGGTTTTACAGTCACATTGGCACATTGTTACCTATTAAGTAAATGGCTTTACCAGTTAGAGGTTCACTGTTTGCAACAGCTGCTTACTGCACACCAATTAAGATGGATATCAATCCCTCTATGTATGAGCATGTGTTTTACAAACCCGCGTTTTACGTAATGTCTTTCAGTAACTGTCATTCCAAGCCTTAGAGTTTCCTCATCAGATATTCGACGAATATATGTCTTCAGCGTGGTGGCAGGACCTTTACAGGATAGCTTGTGACTGCCAGCCACCTTGATGTTCTAAAGGTTCAAGCCCAATGGCCATATACCAATCTTACTCAATAGCAACAGGTGGTGTTAGCTGAATGCGACTTGGAAAATTTTCCAGCTGGTGCCCTCAACGGCAAGCTTCAGCTGGTCCAACGGGATCCCACGGCACCCTTGAGATCCCCTGGACCCTGTGCTTGTTACTCTCTGGAATTACGTCAGCTTCCCTCCGCGGAGAGAGAGAGAGTGCGCAGTCCATTCCAGCCACGGAAATTTCCATGTTTAAGTGGTATTTGTATGTGGAATGTTCAGTCTGGTTTGCAGTCTCTTAATCATGGGATGGATGGATTTCCACATGTGTCAGACCCTGACTGACCAAATATTAATTGCAACATCTGCATGTTGAGTGAAATATGGGAAATGCTGAAGAAAGGAAGGGTCACAGCTGCAGCGGAAGCTGTGCAGTGTGAAGTGACATGCTGTTCCAGACAAGGGCATTGCACAAATCTGTTTTTTGAGCTCATGATCTCAGCTGCAGCAACATGGGTGACATCACATGGAAATAAAGCTCTTCCCCTGAGGAAGAAAGAAATAGAAGTTAAGGTAAACGAGAGATCAGGGTCAAATCTATGCTAACATAGGTTGTTCATGTTCTGGGAAGGTTCAAACGTGCCCGGGTTGGGCTGAATATTATCTTGTGTTAACCTTTCATAGGTTTTATCAGGACCTAGGCATTCCTCCAGTTATGGTCATTATAGAGGCCCACCAGCAGTGACTTGGGATTTTGTAGGAGACTCAAATGACATCCCAATCTGCCAATGCTGCATAGTATTATAAACATGGATTCAACAACTTGCACTTAGAAAAGCATCTCAAACCAGCCTACAGGCGTATGTTTTGACTGAATTGTTGTATAGTTGAAACCCAGCTATGTGTTGCCAGAGGGTAAGAATTTAATAAGCAAAGGCATCATCAATTCATACATTTAACAGCAGAATATCAGGTTTGTTCTCTTTGTGAATAGCTTGTTTAATTTGTCTTATCTGAGGCACCAAATCCAATTTTAGTTCACCTGGTGCAGTGCTAAATTGAGATCAGCTCATGTTGAGATCATGTGTTTTGCAAACCCATGTTTTAGGTTTTTCAGCAACTGTCATCCGAAGCCTCAGAGTTTTCTCATCAGATATTTGGACTTTCCCGGTTCTAATCCTAACCCTAAAACCCTAACCTTAAACCTAATTGACTGAACTACTCACTAAATAAATCTTGATGTTGAGACACAATTTGAAGGAATCCTTATTTTATATCTAGCTCCTACTATAGCTCACTGGAAATGTGTGATACTAACAATGACATTGATGAGTTTAAAAAAACAACTCACTCAAAATATATGACATTCGGTACCTGCTCATGTTCTGTACTCTATTTTTTGAGTTTTAAGGAATGTGAATAATGCAGCTGGTCATCATGGGTGAAAGGGAATTCAAATCTCTCCTTTATAGGAAAACAAAACACACAGCTGAATCTAAATAAATGTTTCCAAGGCCAGTACAGTTTGTGCCTTTCCCAAATACAAAAACAATGTTTTGCAGTGTTTTCCTCTCATTTGGTAATTGAAAACCTCTCAGTCTCTAGGTCCATCCCCCAACTTCCCTGACTCGTGAGCAGCAGGAGCCACGTCTGAAAGCTACTCATTGTTTCAAAGGAACCCTGCAGAACCTCTGGAGGAAACACATTTACGCAGTGTGCAAACTTTTACAGTTGCAAACATAAAGATTTTACAGGTAAGATGTCACCAAAAAGTTATCATGTTGAATTGAATGCTTCGTTTGGTAAATCAGTTCCTGGAGCGGTTTTGCTTGCTTGGGTCCAGAATTATTTATTGTAACACTGAGTTGCAAACCGCTGGCCCTACTCCCACCATGGAACTGAACAATAGATAACAGTATTGATGAGCACAGTATAGAATTTAAATTTACAGGTGTGGTGAGTAACGTGAAATAACCTGCATCAGTTCCAAGGAAATCGAGCACCGTTGTTTTATCGAAGAATTTATTTCACTACCGTTTGCCGTGCTTCAGGTGTGCAGAGAAGAGGAATTTTTAGTTTGTCTCACCTCGTCGGCTTCCGATTCTTATAATTTGATACAATAATGCGTAGAGAGCTTTTGGGTGGCAAATACAATAAAACTCGCATGAGACTGATTTTGTATAAATTGCCTATGTCGTACGTCTGCCCAAATCCCGTTGAATTTCCTATTATTCCTACTTGTCACAAAACTCATACTTTGCATAAGTCAGATTAATTGTATGGTTCCAACTGATATGACTAATGTGAGGTTCACTGTATTACACTTGCTTTTTTTTTGCTTGACAGAGCTACTTTTCTCTTGTGTTCCACTTTTGCAGTTTTATCCAGAATCTGCATCACACTTTGAGCCTTGGATCGCTCTGTTACGAGGTCACGGCTGCATCATATTTGTGTTTTCTCTCCCACCGCTACCTCTGCTGATGTTGCTGATTCATACTGGGATATGATTTCACAGGCGTCCTCCAGGACCTAACCCATGTGCTCACTCTTTTGTGATTGTTGGCAGGCTATACGTGTATGTGCTTACGTATTAGGGGTAGGGTGGATGGAAATAGAAGGAATGTGACACAGCCAGATCTGATCCAGTCCTG